TTCCCAATTACTTCTTCGAATAGGCTAGCTATTCCCTGCTTCATCTGTTTTCCTTCTGGGATACCCATTGTCCTTCTTGTCCTTTCTAAAGGAGTCATTTCTCATAGGATTTTTTTTTTTAATTAAAAAAAAAACAACTTGGTTCTTTCTCCTCTTCTACCTGAATCATTTTTCAATTTCTGTCTTTGAGCTCATGAATTTTCTCTTCCATATGATCTTCTCTATTTCCAATGTTTTCTAGTGAGTTCTTCATCTCATTTACTGATTGCTTTAGCTCCAGAATTTCTATTTGGTTCTTTTTTATAGCTTAAATCTCTTTGACAAAGTACCCCTTTTGTTCCTTAATTTATGGCTGAGCTCTGCGTTTTTGTGTATCTCATTGAATTTCTTCATCACTGCTGTTTTGAATTCTCTGCCATTTAGACCACAGTCTTCCATGATTCTGCGTTTAGTTTCTGGAGAATTGTCATTTTCTTTCTGTGTTACCATGTTACCTTGGTGGTTCATCGTACTTGATGGGCTGTTCCTCCTCTGGTGCATTTGAAGTAGTGAACACTTTTCTTACTTAGGTATCATTTTGATTTTAGTAATTCAGCAGTTTGATTAGACATTTTTTATTAAATAATTAATTAATTTAATTACTTTTGTTACAGATGTTCCTCCTTCCCTCCCCCATACCCTCCTCCCCACTCCCGTCCCTCCTCCATCTTCACAGTATTGTTGTCTGTGTCCATCGGTTACGCACATAAGTTCTTCGGTTTATCTCTTCCCACCCTTCCACCCTGCCTTCCCTCTGAGGTTTGTCAGTCTGTACTCTACTTCATGTGATTAGACATTTTTCTTTTGTATTCCAGTAGATGGTGATAGAGTGCAAGTTTTTTTTTTTTTAATTAAAAAGAATTTTCAATTGCAGTTACATTCAATATTATTCTATATTCGTTTCAGATATACAGCATAGTGGTTAGAAAATCTTGTACTTTATAGAGTGGTTCTCTTCCCCCCAATGTTTCAAGTATCCACCTGGCCCCATACATACTTACCATGATATTATTGACTATATTCCCTATGCTGCAATCTACTCTGTGATTGTTCCGTGACAACTCATTGGTACTTCTTATTTTCTTCACCTTTTTCACCCAGCCTTTCAACCTCCCTCACCTCTGTCAACTGTCAGTCTGTTCTTTGTGCCTCCAGGGTCACTGTGGGGAGTGTCATTGTGGTTGTAGGTGTTACTGCCTGGGTGACTGGGGTGGTGGGTGTCCCTACTGTGTCTGGGACACCTGGTTCTAGAGGCACCGCTACCATGTGGGAGGATGTGGTGGGTGGGTGAGAGCCAGCCAACTTCTGTAATGCTTCCTGGTTCCCTGTGACCGCTGGTACTGCGGAAGGCAACAGATGTGTGTCTGTAGCTGCCACCCCATCTCAGCTGTGATTCAGGGAGGGAGCTGGATCCTCTGATGAGGATGCTGCTGCTGCCCTTCTGACCCTCCACCAGAGGGTGTGAGGGCCTCATCCTGACTCCATCACTACTGCATTGGGGCTTGGGCTCAGCCAGTAACTGTGTCTGCGGCTCCGTCCCTGTCCTTCCCCCCCACCCCCTTGCCTCCCCACGCATTCCAGTTTGCTCACCTTCAGATGTCCCAGTGTGTGGATCTCTCAGGCATCCTAGTGTGTTGAGCATCCTAGTGTGTTGAACCCATGTGTTGGGTTATACATGTCTGACTAGCTGCAGACTCATGGGCAGTACCATGGAGCTGTCTCACTCTGCCACGATGCTCCAGCTTTAAATTGTTATCTCTTGTACACACTGTACTGTAAGCTCCAGGAGACACTTATTTCACTCACTTGACACCTATTTTCTAGCACGACTGGCATGTAGAGAAGCAATAAATATTTAACGAATAATGAGATGAATGAAAGTTAATGTTGTTCCAGCGTATGGCTTTACCCATAAGAACTCGCTTATTTATCTGTAGTACACCGAGAGCTGCTCACCTACAACACTGCGCTTGTTCGCAGAATGTTCCTTGGCTTTGAAGGGCTACATTGCATTCAGGGAAAAATGATCAAAGTTAAAGGCCAAACCACGTTTTAAAATTTAAACTTTATAATAAAATATTATTATATTTATTATGAATGTTTGTAAACGAAATAAAACCAACAGTATTTTGTTAGTCAATTTACGTCACTATCTTTAGATTTTTAGAGTTTCTTCTAGGAATATATTCAGTTAAAGAAAGTATAATATCGCCCTGGCCGGTTTGGCTCAGCGGTTAGAGCGTCGACCTGTGGTCCGGAGAGACCCGGGTTCAGTTCCCGCTAAGGGCACGTACCTCGGTTGCAGTTTGTCCCCGGCCCTGGTTGGTCATGCGGGTGGCAGCCACTCGATATGTCCCTTCATGTCGATGTTTCTCTCTCTCTCTCCCTTCCTCTCTCTCCCTCCCACTCTATCTGTACAAAAAATGGAAAAATGTCCTCGGGTGAGGATAAAAAAAAAAAAAGTATAATATCTGTTGTTAGGTAGAAATTTAATAAGGTAAAAACAGATTCTTTTTTCTGAAGACAACACATTTAACTTGAAATTTTCCTTGTCCCCAGAATTAAATACAATGTGAATGTAAGTTAATTTGCTGTTACACCACTACTTTCTGAAGCATCTCCTCATATTTCAAAACCCAATCTTCTTCCAGTCACTATGTCCTTACTGAGCATTCACTCGTTTATTCAATGAGCATTTATTGATAGCCACATTTATCAGACACTGGGGATAATACCGTCTTCTTCTCCCCCCTCAAAAAACCATCGTGGTCTAAATGAATATTAACTATGATCTGTCAATTGCTTTCTGAGTCTAGGATTTCTCAATTTCACACTTTCGTAATTATAAAATTAACAAATATTGTATAATGTGAAGAGATTTTCAATTTCACATGAACAAAAATAAAACTATAGTCCAAAGAGAACTGCATGAATTCTCAAAGTTACAGAGCCATTTAGTGGGGAGCTGGGACTCATTCCCAGGCCTCTTGAAAACCTACCCTTCACATCCCTACACTACTTCTCACGAGAGCAGTCTTTTTTTCATTCTCCATTAGAATCACTTTTCTACAACCTGTTTTGACCCATTCATCTAACAGATACTTATGCTAATATGTTTTAGGAAACTCACAATTCCATTTTCTCCCTTATATCTGCTCATACACCTTGTAATTTTTAATCTCTATCGATGTATTTACTCTACTCATCACACAGGTTAGGAATCTCCACAGTTTTCTTTTTTAAATTATTTTTCAATTACAGTGAACATATGATACTATATCAGTGTCAGGTGTACAACGTAGTGATTAGACATTTATGTATCTTACACAAAGCGATCACCCTGGTAAGTCTAGCACGTGTCTGACACCATACATAGTTATCACAATATTATAGACTCTTCCGCCTGCTGGCTCTCTGTAATCCTTCACTCCTCTCGGTCCCTCAACTCTTCACATTCAATAACCTGATGAATTCTCTTGATAGTAATTGCTAAGTGTCTCTACATTTTGACTTCACTGAGCAGTGAAGGTACCCACTTCAGACCCCATCATGTCTGGCCTGGACTGTTGCGATGGCCTGCAAGCTGGTCCCCACGCAGTGGAAAGTTTCCAGTTCTATATCACCGCTAGGATGGGTTCTTGCAGAGGCAAATGGAAGAGGTGTAAAGGAGAACATAACCATTTTCACTTTCATGCTTAAAAAACATGATGGAGTAACATACTTGTAATATACCATGTTGTACAGGAAAAAGTAAAAAAAAAAAAAGAAGAAGAAGAACAAAAAAAACAAACAAATAAAAAAACCTTACCAAGAGATTAAGTCACCCTGGCCAGGTAGCTCAGTTGGTTAGAGCATCATCTTAATACACTGAGGTTGCAGGTTTAATCTCCTGTCAGGCACATATAGGAATCAACCAATGAATGCATAAATAAGTGGAAAACAAATCCTTGCCACCTCAAAATCAATAAAATTAAAAAGAAGAGAAAGGAACAGTCTTTCTCAGTATGGCTTTATTTGTGCTTCCTAACCTTCTCCTCCAAGCCCTGGCATCTGAATTCTCATCATTTTTAGACCCTTTAACAGCCTGGATGCTCTGGTGCATTATTCTTCATTCTTCCTGGGATGTGCTTCTCCTGCCTTGTTCGCAAAGGCTCCCTGTCCTGTGAGTCCCACAAGACGTCGTATCAGAACTGTCGCACTTACGCCTTGTGCAGTGTTTCGGCTGTTCACACATCTGCATTGCCTCTGGACGGGTCGAGTTCTGCGTCTCTGTCATCACCGAATCTCCTGCGTGAGCACGGGGCCTGGCACACGTGGGTACTTAATAGGAGCTTGTTGAGTGAATAAAGCGCTCTGGGAGAGGCTGAGAAAGAAACACATAACACTGTGAACGTGTACTTATTGCAAGTGGAGGTATAACTGAAGGCGTGGGAGCACAGACTTCACTCCCTCGTCAGCAGCGCTGTCGGTGAAGTTCGCAGGTTGCCATCTGCTAGCAGGCAGGGCAGGCCTCCTGCACGATTTGATCATTACTCTGGTCATTTCCCACTGCGGAAGCCACTTTGACTTTATTTCCAATAGCTGAGTGGGACGTGGCTGTCAGGAGGAAACGCCGTGAGAGACACTGGCGTTAATGACCCCCCTCGACAGGCTCCAGACTTTCTCTTCGCAGGAAATTTACCTCGATAGCGGCATCATTGGGGCGGGCTGAGTTTAGGGCCTTCATGTTTGTCCTGCTGCGACCCACATGCCATTTGCTATTTCACATGTTCTTTTATGGGTGAATATATTTCCAGTCCAATTTCCCGGGGACGGTGAGGCTTGATTGGTCTTCGCTATTTCAGTATTTGGAGCACGTCGTTGGTTCCGGACACTGTCAGGTGTCCCCAGGGGAGGGCGAAGCCCTCTGTGATGTCCGTCTCCTGTGCCATGCTACACTATCGCACTTTCTCTTCCTGCAGGGATTGTTTCCATGACCACCCTGACGGTGCTGGCCTATGAACGTTATATCCGCGTGGTCCACGCCAGAGTGATCAATTTCTCCTGGGCCTGGAGGGCCATTACCTACATCTGGCTGTATTCGCTGGCGTGGTCAGGAGCCCCTCTCCTGGGCTGGAACAGGTACATCCTGGATGTACACGGACTAGGCTGCACTGTGGACTGGAAATCGAAGGACGCCAACGATTCCTCCTTTGTGCTTTTCTTATTTCTTGGCCGACTGGTGGTGCCCGTGGGCATCATGGCTCATTGCTATGGCCACATTCTGTATTCCATTCGAATGGTGAGTTGAAGACTCCGAATGCCCCTCCCCCAAACTGTGTCCAGGGCAGAACGTTTGGCATGGGATCAAAGAGAATTAAACTCTTCCTAAATGATCAGTGGGTGCCCACAGATGAGCAGCTCTTCCCATTTGATAGAATTTTGCACTGTGAGTCACTCTATGGAAAGGTCAATGAGGAGTAACATTTCTTCTCTCTGTGCCACCCATCTAAACCAGGGGATTCTGGACAGAAAAAATCAACAGCAACCAAAACAAAACAAAACCTTTGTTCTCCAGTACACCCACAGTTTAAGAGCACTGACAAAGGGAATTCCATACTTCCCATCATTTTACTCACTCAAAGGTCACATAAACCCGCTAGAGAATAGCGTAGGGATTTTGTCGGGACATCACTTTCAAGTCCCAAAGAACAGGATCTGACCACACGCAGATTTCCTGTGGGGTGCCCGTGGAGTGACGTCTGAAGTAACACAGTGTGGGGCACCCTCCACGGCCCAGCGTCTCACGTCAACCACGTGTTTTCCTCACCCACTCAGTGCTTCTCCTTCCCGTTTCCTCTTTCATCAAAATTCTCCTGTGTCTTGCTCACTCTGCCAAACCCTCTAGCTTTCACCTGTTTTTAAATCAAACTCAGCCACAGGTATCACTTTAAATCATGACCCACTGCCCTCCATTTCCATGTTCCAGTTTTCTTCTCACACATCTATTCTGTAAAAAAAAAAAAAAATCCTTGCATCAGTGCAACTCTGTTTTCTCTGTGGTGTAATTAAACTAGAAGGGGAGCCAGAGGGAAACCTCGCCATGTTCTCAGGTCCACACACAGATGTCATCTCAACAGTGTCTAGAAGTCTTGGGATGGCAAGATGATCCACTCTCTCCACACAATCGCTACTTATTACAAGTTCTCAATTCTCATTTTAATCTCTTGCCTTACTACTATCCCTGTGACCGAATTCTTATCCAACAACCATGCTTCTTATTTATTGGGAAAAATAGAGTCATTATAAAAATTCCTCACCCTGCCTGGTGTGGCTCCATGGTTAGAATGTTGGCTCATGCACTGAAGGGTCAGGGGTTCTATTCCTGGTCAAGGGCAGGTACCTGGGTTGCAGATTTGATCTCCGCATGTGGGTGGCCACCAATTGATGTGTCTCTCATATAGATGTTTCTCTCTCTCTCTCTCTCCTCTTCTTCTCCTGTCCTCCCTTTCACTCTCTAAAAATCAAAAGAAACAATATCCTCTGGTGAAGATGAACAACAACAACAACAAGAAAAAGAAGAAATTCCTCAACTCCCTTTATGTGAACCTGTATGTTTGCACTCATTCTTAGACCCCTCTCTTCAATTACAGGGTGAAGGGAGAAGTCTCAGGACCAAAATGATCCTCAGTTCTGGCTTTTGCCCCCCCCCCCTCCATTCTTTTGCCCCAGGGACCTCTCTTAAGTAATAATTTTCTTTTTCACTTACATCTTCTCTCTCTCCTGTACTACTGGCTCTTTACTTTAGCATATAACTATGTTAATTTAATACAAAAGCAAAATATATTCTGAACTACCTCTAGTTACCACTGTATTTTTCTCCCCCCTTGCTGCTAACTCAAAGAACCATTGGTGGCTTTTGGTGCGACATCATCACTCAACAAGAATTTATTTGACCAATGTTTACTAACCATTTCAAGTGTATCAATTACTTACGGTTGTGTACTGAATACTTGTGTCCCCTCAAATTCGTATATGGCAGACTTTACCCCCAATGTGATAGTGTAGGAGATGAGGACATTGGGAGTTAATTAGTGTTGGATGAAGTCACGAGAGTAGGGTTGTTGTGATGGTATTAGTGCCCTTTTAAGAGGAAGTGGGATCAGAACTCACTCTCTCCGCACATGTCAGAACACGAAGAGAAGGTGGCCATCTCCAAGCCAAGAAAAGAGGCCTCAGAATGAAACCTACCTTGCTGGTACCTTAATCTTAGACTCTCCAACCTCCAGATGTGTGGAAAATAAATTTCAGCCTTCAGTCTATGGTATATTGTTATAGGAACACAAGCTAAGACATTTTCTAAACTCTGATGATACAATGAATAAGCCATAGTCCTTGTCTCAAAGAGTTTATAGTTTAGTAAATTCACCTAGTATTTATTCATCAGTCTTTTGCAAATTGGCACCTCCTTCCTCTACCACACTGTCGTGTACATCAGCTCTCATTAAGGTCACTAGTGATCTCCCAAAGGTTACAGCCAATGGACACATTTCTATTTCCATTGGTTTTCTGGCATCTGTGGTATTTGAGGCTTCTAGCATTGGTGGAAGCTTCCCCTTAATTGTGTTTTCCCCTCCCACTGTTTCTAGGACATGGTTCTCTCCTACCTTTGTTGCTGACGGTCTGGCCCATCTTCTCAAGGCTCTTTCAAGGGCTTCTTTTCTGTGGGCCTCCCCAGCATTCCATGCTTAGCTCTCACCTCATGCTCCACACTGGCCTTGGACAATCTCCTATACTGCCAGGATGTCTCCTCCTAGCAATAGCTTGGTGACTTTGAAATCTGTTTCTGATCCAGGTTGTTCTTCTGACCTCTATCAGATTCCCACAGTCAATTGCCTATTAAACACTTCCACTTGGGTAGTCCACAGACTAGGAAAATTCAACATGTGTGTGCCCTGGCCGGTTTGGCTCAGCGGTTGGAGCGTCAGCCTGCGGTACAGAGAGACCCGGGTTCGGTTCCCGCTAAGGGCACGTACCTCAGTTGCAGTTTGTCCCCGGCCCTGATTGGTCATGCGGGTGGCAGCCACTCGATGTGTCCCTTCACATCGATGTTTCTCTCTCTCTTCCTCTCTCTCCCTCCCGCTCTATCTGAACAAAAAATGGAAAAATGTCCTCGGTTGAGGATTAAAAAAAAAAAGAAAAGAAAATTCAACGTGTGTGAAGATGAACTGGTCATCTTTCCCTCCAAATCTGCTACTCATCCGTTCCCTTTCTCAGTTAATGGTCATCATTTCTAGCTACCCAGAAATTAGAGAATGATCTTTGTTCTTCATCCTTGTTTTCCCCCATAGCTAATTATCAATTTTCATCTATTCAATCTCAAATATTTTTCCATGTATCACTTTTCCTCTCTCCTATTTCCACAGACACAATTCCAAAGGACCTTAGTTATTCTTCCTTTTTTCTTGCTTTCCTCTAGTCCATTTCCTTCATATTGCCACCAGAGTAATTGTTCTCAAATACAGATGTTCTCATGTCACTGTCTACCTTACATCCTTTAGCGGTTCCATTGCCTTTATGATTAAGGACAAAGTCCCTGAGTGTGACTACCAGGTCCTGCATGGCCATCTCTAGTTTGCCTGTCCAACATCATTTCTTGACACACCCTCCCTTTTGCCACCTAAGGGTTCAGCCAACTGCAGCATTTGTCGTTCTTAGAACCTGACATGTGTTCTTTTACCTCTTTGCCTTAACACTTTTCTTTTGCCTGGAACATTCTTCTGTCTCTCCTCCTTCCTTGGCGAACAAACACCTCCTCACCTCAGAAGACTAAGCGCAGGATCTTCTTGCTCGAACCCATCTCTGAATTGATCACCCATCCTATATATGTATTCCCGTAGCCCTCCCTGCTCACCTCGCCCATGGCATGTATCACTTACCAAAGCAGTCTGTGTGCTTGTCCCCCTCACCAAATAGTGAATTAATTCCTCAAGAGTAGAGAACCAGTCTTATTTAGTCACCTATAGCTGGAACAGTATGTGCATGTCATAGATCATCAGTGACCATTTTTGGAGTGAGAAGCAGACAGAGGGTATAGGAAGGGGAAGTGGTGAAGGTGTGCAGATAGCCTGTCTGGTAACTTGGGTTTTCTGTGGTAGGCAGACTTAAAGTCTCTGGGGAGGCCTAGAGCCCGGTAACCAAATTTGCAGACAGTTCCTAATCGTAATCTAAGGGGAGTCATCTGGGTCTTGCGAAGGTTTTGGTTAATAGGCAATAGACCTTTGCTCAATTTCTGTTTTGGAGTGATGGTCTATGTAATGTTTAGGAAAATTATATGTGAGAAAAGGTGAAAAGTATGTGTGTATAGGTTATGATTGTTTATGTGATAAAAATAATTTTTAGATCCCACAAAGGAGAGGAAAAACCCAAAGAGAAATTATCTTTTGTATCTGTGTCCAGTCCCTCTACTCTAAAAGAAAGAAAGAAAGAAAGAAAAAAAGAAAGAAAAGACATTTTAATTATCCATGTTATCTTCTATTATTTGTCCATATGAATATATGATTGTAATAAGAATCTAGTTTCTTAAATATAATTTTAGATAGTATCAATAATTGAGATATATTTTTAAGTACTATAAGTACATGTTCTAACTTATTTGGAAAACTTTCCTTAATTTTCAAAATAATGCTAGAAATAAAAGAACCCTTAGAGTTTGTTGGAATGCAACAAATTTCCCAGTTTAAAATTACATACTAAATATCAACATATGCCAGGTACCCTTTTAAAAAGCAACATTTAAGGCATTTGTATTTTTGTAGCAGAATGAGCTTAGTATAGTCAGAGATGACCATTTTACTTAAGAACATATTTTGGTGTACGGGAATATTTTCCCCTTCACCTTAATAACACATGTATAATAATAATAGGAGGAACTTCTAAAGAACATTTTATCTGAGGAATTTTGTCAAAGAACTTTTGAACGTAAGCCGTTACTCCTTACTAGGTCTGATGGAACAAACTAGGAGCAGATGTGCTGGTTTGAAAGGAGCGGGGCCTAGGTTTTCCGAGCGCTCTTCCCTACAACCAAACGCCCACCGAAACCAATCGCAGGTTCCTCACCAAATCCCACTTCACGGTCCTTAGCTGCGACCTGGGAGGCCCAGTGGTTCCCGCGAGAGTTCACTTGGGAAATCAGTTGCCATCAAGCCCAGCTGCAGGGTACCCGTGCAGAACCCGGACTCGCGTGTTCGCTGCCTGCTCTGAGAATCTGATGCTTACGCCTCCGTGAGGGTTTCCAGGACTGTGGAGAAGTTGTCTTCCATGTTTCAAGTCCTTTAGGTGGTCTGTTAGTGACTGGACAATTCACTTTATACTTCTTTAAGTAGCCCTGGCTGGTTTGGCTCAGCGGCTAGAGCATTAGCCTGCAGTCTGGAGAGACCCACAGTTGGCTCCCACTAAGGGCACGTGCATCATTTGCAGTTTTAGAAAACATTTTTAAAAAACCATTAAAAGATCTCAGAGACTATATAGTTCATCGTGCTACACTAAAGATGAGGAGACTGGGGCTCTGAGAGAGGAAGGGCTGGGCCCCAATGCAGGTCCTGGGTCAGAACTCAGCCTCCCAAGGTCCTGTTCAGTTCTCTTTCTATTAAGGTGGGGCCAAGAACGGAGTCTGAATATCGATGATAAAAACAACAAAGAAAAATTGTTCTTTTCTTTTTAATTCTCTTTCTTTCTTTCTTTCTTTCTTTCTTTCTTTCTTTCTTTCTTTCTTTCTTTCTCTTTCTTTCTTTCTTTCTTTCTTTCTTTCTTTCTTTCTTTCTTTCTTTCTTTTTCTTTCTTTCTTTCTTCAGCTTCGTTGTGTTGAAGATCTTCAGACAATTCAAGTGATCAAGATTTTACGATACGAAAAGAAAGTGGCCAAAATGTGCTTTGTTATGATATTCAGCTTTCTGAGTTTTTGGATGCCCTATATTGTGATCTGTTTCCTGGTGGTTCATGGACACCTGGTCACTCCTACCATGTCTGTTGTCTCCTATCTTTTTGCTAAATCAAGCACTGTATATAACCCACTCATTTATATCTTCATGATCAGAAAGGTAAGCTTTGTAATCAACTGATTGTTTCACCCTGGGGTGGGGTTGTTGAAATACATAATACGTTTTCTGAAATAATTCAGAGCAGCTTCCATGGAAAAAACCTAAATCAAAAGTTTTACAGGCAAGTAAAGGCTTCAGGAAGAAACGTAGGATATTCCCAACAAAAATGATAATTCTGCCATTGGAGGTTCATGCTTGTTAGGTAAAATCCTATTCAAATTAATTCATCAGGACACATTTTATGTCTAGTGCTAACAACAGCCACAGCAGAAGTTAATAATACAGGCATACCTGGGAGAAATTGTGGCTCTGGTTTCAGAACACAGCAAATAAAGCGAGTGTGTACATTTAAAATTTGTACTGTACTATGCAGGTTAAACCTATTATCATTTAAAAAAAAAAAACTGCATGAAATAGGCACTGGTGGTTTTCTTTATTTTATTTATGGATTATTAAAGATGTTCAGAGAAGTTCAATAGCTTGCCTGATCTAGGAAGTGTTGATGGCTGGGTTTGAACTTTGTTTGCATGAATCCCAAAAGCCCATACTCGTAACTCCTCACTTTGAGGTCATGGGCACTGTTCATGATTGGTTGGGTCATGTTATGCCATGGCCAATATGCAGCTAAGGTGAATTTGCTCAAGAAACTTCCTCTAGATCTGCTGGGAAATCTATGATCAGTTTCTGTATACACCATTGTCGTTTTGACTAAATGGCTCTCAGTCATGACTATGAGGGCCCTCATTAGGACTGACAAGAAGCTGAGCCTCTAAGTTACAAAGTGTAAAGATCAGAGAATTTAAACGTTATGAAAAATGGTTAAATTACAATATTAGAAGTTTTAAGTAACAGGTCATATTAATAACAGGCAAAATAACTACTCTGACTTCTAATACTTGAAGAGTTTGGAAGAAGGGGGCACTTCTATATTAACTTCATAATACTCACTGCCAAGTCTTCCCTTCTTTTTGGTTTACCCTCTCCATGAATTTCTTTCCTATGGCTTCAATCTCCTTACGTGGATGGTCTTCCTCCCCCTTTCCCGTTGCCTTCTATTGGTCCGTTTCCTTGAAGCCAACGATTTTTAACTTGGGAGTGTTTTAGAACCTAACAGGAGAGCCATTGGAACCCCTGAAACTGTTTGTAAAACTTTTTGAAAGTTTTTATATGTGAATTTTTCTAGTGAGCTGGATTGTAACTTTCATTTTCTGAAGGAGTAAAGACCTCCGTGTTTTAAAGACTACCACCTCAACAGGAGAATACATTTAGCTGCTTTAACTAACAGTACTTCTGTGCCCTTTCACTGGGCAATGGGCTATAAGTCAGTGCTTTGAAAACTTTCGCATGCACACACCACACCCGGAGACCTTGTACAGAATGCGTATTCTGATTTAGTACGCTTGAGTGCCCAGGTTCTGCCTTTCTAGCAAGCTCCCATAAGGCCCTGATGTTTCTGGTTGCCGGGAGTACACTGTGAACAGGAAGTCTAAGAGACATAATAAACAAACAAAGATGGTCCTTATCCTCAAGGATCTCAGCATTTATGTGGGAAATACTTTTTTGGGCATACATATTCTATTTAACACTTATAATACGGTGTCTTTAGCACTTAACCCGACACACACCAAACAATACATTGGTGAATCAGAAAAGTTACAAACTGCCCTGGCCGGTGTGCTCAGTGGTTAGAGCGCCGGCCTGCAGACCAGAGAGACCCGGGTTCGGTTCCCGCTAAGGGCACGTACCTCTGTTGCAGTTTGTCCCTGGCCCTGGTTGGGTCGTGTGGGTGGCAGCCACTCGATGTGTCCCTTTCACATCAACGTTTCTCTCTCTCTCTCTTCCTCCCACTGTATCTGAACAAAAAATGGAAAAATGTCCTTGGGTGAGGATTAAAAAAAAAAAAAGAAAAGTTACAAACAAATAAATATTTTAAAGTGTGTATAAATTACATGTTAACTTGTATATAAATGGGCTTTAAAGAAGATAGATATCAATGTAGCTATTATACTTTTTATTGATATTTCCTGATCTGGGAAAGTCCATGTATTACTCCAAGCAAAGGGGATAAGAATTAAATTAACTTTTTATTTACATCTTCTATTGGTCATGATAGACTGACTATTGTAACAAAAACCCCAACATGTCAGCGGATGAACAAGGAAAAGCTTGCTCATTGCTCATTCAGATCCAAGTTCACAGTTCATTGTGGAGAAGACGGGATCTGTTCCATTCAGTCACTTAGGAGTGTGGGTTGTGACCAACTTCACACCTTGACCTCCAAGGGTCTTATAGACAGGGAAGAGCAAGAAGGAGCCCCTGAAAGGGGCTCAGAAATTGTGTTGTACCCAGGACAGAGAGAAGAAAAGTGGTGTTGGTAGACACTAGCACTCTCTGTTGTAGTGTTTTTGCTCCAGCTGATTCATAATCTTGATAGAAAAAGTTTTTCATCTGATGAAAGGAACATTAGTGAGTCCATCATACTCTCTGCTTTCTCTGCCAGGAACGGCCTTGTCCATCTGTGCTACCCACCGTATCCCCAGATTGTAGCACATGACTGTCACCTAGAGAGCACAGTGCTCACTGAAGATTTGTGGGGTGAATTTTTTTTCAAAATCTCTTAAAGAAACAAATCTAGCTTCCCTCATAGATGGTTCACGCAACTTGAATCTGTGGAGATTATAGGTATTGAAACATTCCTATGTGGTCTAGTTAAGAAGAATTATAATTAAAAGACAAAGCTGCAGGGTTGCCTAGGTAGATCTGAGTATGACCACCTAACTCCACACCCCTATCAGGTCATAAATAGGAGAGAGCCACCCAAATTAAATAATTTTTTCTCTTTTTCTTTTCTCTCTTCTCTTTCTCTTCTCTTTCTCTCTCTCTCTCTCTCTCTCTCTCTCTCTCTTTCTCTCTCTCTCTCTCTCTCTCTCTCTCCTTCCTTCCTTCCTTCCTTCCTTCCTTCCTTCCTTCCTTCCTTCCTTCCTTCCTTCCTTCCTTCTTTCTTTCTTTCTTTCTTTCTTTCTTTCTTTCTTTCTTTCTTTCTTGTGGTACGTGCCCCTAGTGGGAACCGAACCCGGGACTCTTTGGTCCGCAGGGCAATGCTCCAACCACTGAGCCAAACTGGCCAGGGCTAAATGAATTTTCTTGAATGTTAATCCAGATTAGGGGCCACATTTTCTTGTATTCAACTTTATTTTCTCTCTGCCCAGTTTCGAAGATCCCTTTTGCAACTGCTGTGTTTCCGACTGCTGAGGTGTCAGAGGCCAGCCACAGACCTACCCACAGCGGGGAGCGAGCTGCAGATCAGACCCATTGTCATGTCTCAGAAAGACGGTGACAGGCCAAAGAAAAGAGTGACTTTTAACTCTTCTTCCATCATTTTTATCATCACCAGCGATGAATCACTATCAGTTGATGACAGTGACAAACCTAAGGCTGATGTGATCCAAGTACGACCTTTATGAGAATAGATGTGAACGGTAAGGCAAGATGGGAACGTCAATGGAACCCTACTTTGAGACTCCTATTGTGAGGACTGTTTTGGGATCCCCATTCTCTGTAATATCAACCAAACTTTTGTGGCCTGGAAGAAAATTTGAATTGCTCATATGCTCTCTGGCCTCTGGGGGCAATCAAACTGGACCATTTCTTTTCATTCAATGGGTCCTTTACATAGTGAGAAACCATGTGGGTACACGATAGGCATCTGGCACCGTCAGCTTCTAACAGGTGGGAAACTTGCATTTTAAATAGAGTTTTTAAATTACTATTTTCCAAGGCACATAGCACAGTCTTCTCAAAAAATACATAGCTGTGAAAATAACTTTATCTCATACACAGGTGTGAAATAGCAAGAAGATCTTGAATTTTCTTCCTGTAGTGTTGGGTTGTATTCAGACTCATGTCAAATGTTTGACCAATCAGCCCTGGCTGGTTTGGCTCAATGGTTAGAGCGATGGCCTGTGGACTGAAGGGTCATGGGTTTGAATCCTGGTCAGGGGCATGTACCTGGGTTGTAGGTTCGATCCCTGACATGCTTGGGGTCATGTGGGAGGCAACCAATAGACGTGTCTCTCTCACATCAATGTTTCTCACTTTCTCCTCCTCTCTCCCTCCCTTCCACTCTCTCTGAGAAATCAATGGAAAAGTATCCTCTGGTGAGGATTAACAGAAAAAAAATACATATATATATCTTCAATCAAATGTATCAGAGACAGTTCTAGGATGAAAAGAGAATCAAACCCCTAACTTTATCTAAAACAAAAGACTTTCTACATGATAAAGAGGAGCTTCAGACAAGTGTGCTGCTCAGTAAGCTCTGAAAGATGTTACCAAACAGCAAGAGGTGGGGTGGGGGTGGGGTGGGGCTGGTGGGGCAGGGTTGGGGGTCTGGGTGAAAAAGCTCTCCCAAAGGATTCAGCAAGGGAAAAAAGCTTATAGACACCGACAACAGCATGGTGATTACTAGAAGGAAAAGGGGGTTGGGGGAGGTAGGAGAGGGTAAAGGAGGAATAAATGGTGACGGAAGGACACTTGACTTGAGGTGTTGAACACACAATACAATATACAGATGATATATTAGAGAATTGTACCCCTGAAACCTATATAATTTTATTAAGCAATGTGACCCCAATACATTCAATATTTTTTTTAAAGCAATGCAGCCCAGAAAATAGGGTGGTGAATTTTAAGGTGATCATGGCGTGTAGGCAATCATACATGAGCAGAGCATGTACGTTGTCAAGATTGTGTTGATGCCAGATAGATATTTCCATCTATCATTTCAGACATGAACACAACAGGATCATCTCTCCTTTTCATAATTTTGCACAATTTTGCCAAGAGTGCTAGATTTTTAAAAAAGGAGTTTTAACAAAACAAATTTACATTGGAAGGGGGATGAAAGTAAGTGTAGAACTGTACTCATAAATGTATTATTTAATTTTTATTGCTCTTCAATCCACTGGATAATTAATAGAGGCCATTTTTCCATGAGTCATTGTTTGGACTACATATGGATTATTAAACCTCAAGCATTTCTTTGACAATTAGAAGAGTAACACTGAACCATTTTATTTTATTGCCTAATATTTATTTCTTAGATCACTGTCCTACCAGTGTTGCATTTTCATAAGGAATTGTGTTTGAAAGACTTCTGAATGATTCAGTTGGCCTATCGAAGAGGCAAGAACCAAAGAAAACATTTTCACTGAACAAACTTTTAAAAGTCAGTTTATTTCTGGTTTGCCTCAGCACGTAGTTCAAAAATAAGTTAGTAAGTTGTTTCTAAAAGTCTGAAATGGAATAAAATATGGCTTCCTGTTTATACAAATACCATCTCTCTTTGCTTCCTTTCTATTCTCTTGTATATGTAGATATTTGATTTATAAATACAGCCCTTGTGTCCTTCACTTAGCTTGGCATTAATAGACTTTCCTAGCCTTCAAAGACTGGGAAATAATATGGACTCATTGCGAACTCTCTAGAAAGCCCCCAAAGTCCTCATTTACTGTTCTACTTCCATCAGGTGAAACTGAGCCCTGGGCTTAGATAAGTTGTATCCAGGTGATGAAAAGTGCCACTAACATGTTAGGTAAATTGTAATATTTATTCCCAGGTGTTAAGTCAATCCCATTGTGATCTCTGTTTTGTCCTGTTGCAAGGTGTCAGTGAGACGCAGAGCCGAATTGTAAGGAGCACTTTATTACACCGAGGGGGTGGGGGGGCTGGGAGGATCTCCCAAATCCCAGCAACCTGCCTTCTTTGTTGCCTGCTTTTAAAGGCACAAACTACAGAAAAAAACTACATTCTCTTGGTGCCGCTTTTGGCATCGTTAAGGGGGGCTGATACAGAGAAGGGGAGAGAGGAGCTTGTTAGAGGTCAGGGCAACTATTAATCTCTTTTTTCTCATGGTTCCTCTGAGTTTCCCAAGGCCATCATTAACCCCTTATCTTCAGAGTTTTCTTTGGGTTTCGCAAGACCTTATGTTTACAAGAAAGAGTCTGCCAGGGGGACTTCCGGTCAAGATGGCGGCGTAGGTAAACGCGGTATCGCATCCTCCCACAACCACATCAAAGTTACAACTAAACTACAGAACAACCATCATTCAAAACCGCCTGAAATCAAGCTGAATGGAAGTCGTACAACTACGGAACTAAGGAAAAAAAAAAAAAGCAGCTACATTCAGACCGGTAGGAGGGGCGGTGGCGCGAGGGGGGGCGGCCGCACAGCGGCCGGAGCGCGCAGCGGCGAGACGGGCTGGTCCCACACCCAAGCGTGGTGGATAAAAATCAGGAGGATCCCGCGGCTGGGAAGGTCCTTCCTGAGGACTGAGGGGTCCCCGTCCCACACCAGGTGCCCCGCTCAGGGTTCCAGTGCCAGGAAGAGAATCCCCATAACTTCTGGCTGGAAAAACCAGCGGGAACTGAGGCTCAGGGAGGCTGAGGCGGCTGGAGCCCCAGGCAGCTCCTTAAAGGGCCCGCGCACGGACTTATCGGACTCTCTCCCTCTAAGCTCAGAGGGGAGGCAGCTCGAGGGGCACCAGAGACACACAGGGAAGAACTGAGCTGTTTGGCACTGGAGCGAGAGCTGGACAGGGGGCTTCCTCGGGGACAAACGTGCTGTCAGAGGCCTTTGTTCCTTTGGTGAGCCCTTCCCGGGGGCGGCAGACAGAAGCCATATCTGGGACTCCAGCAACCTGGCTCACACTGGTAGCCCCGCCCTGTTGACTCCCTGCGGCCCCGCCCCACCCCACCCAACTTTCAAGCTGTTGCCACTTGCTTAACAATAGGATTGGCCGGTCTTGGATCCTGCTTCAGGTTTTTCCTAAATTCTTTCAAACGAGCAGCACTGGGTCTCAGCAAGCCCCATACCTCTCATTAAGTAATACACAGAAACAAACACAGGGAGGCAGCCAAAATGAGGATACAAAGAAACAGGTCCCAAATGAAAGAACAGAACAAAACCCCAATAAAAGAACTAAGCGAAAGGGAGATAAGCAACCTAACAGATACTGAGTTCAAAATACTGCTTATAAGGATGCTCAATGAACTTAGCGAGAACCTCAGTGAACTTAGGGAGGGCATCAAGAGCATAAAAAAGTACCAGTTAGAAATCATGGATACACAGTTAGAATTAAAGGAGGCATTAACTGAAATAAAGAATAATTTACACAGCTTCAATAATAGAGTATGTAGATCCAAGGAGCAAACCATCGATTTGGAATATAAGGAAGCAAAAAATCCCCAATCAGAAGAGCAAAAAGAAAGAAGAATCCAAAAAAATGAGGATAGAGTAAGGAGCCTCTGGGATAACTTCAAGCGTGCCAACATTCGCATCTTGGGGGTGCCCGAAGGAGAAGAGAGAGAACAAGAAATCGAAAACCTGTTTGAAACAATAATGGCAGAAAACTTTCCTAACTTGGTGAAGGAAACAGACATACAAGTCCAGGAAGCACAGAGAGTCCCAAACAAGATGAACCCCAAGAGGCCCACACCAAGACACATCATCATCAAAATGCAAAAGGTTCAAGACAAAGAGAGAATATTAAAAGCAGCAAGAGAAAGGCAGCTAGTTACCTACAAGGGAGTACCCATTAGGCTGTCAGCTGATTTCTCAAAAGAAACTTTGCAGGCCAGAAGGGAGTGGCAAGAAATATTCAGAGTGATGAAAACCAAGAACCTACAACCAAAATTACTCTATCCTGCAAAGCTGTCATTTAGAATCGATGGACATACAAAAACTTTCCCAGACAAGAAAAAGTTAAAGGAGTTCATCACTACCAAACCGTTATTATATGAAATGATGAAGGGTCTTTTTGAAGAAACAGATAAAATGTATGAACAAACAAAATGGCAATGAATACATATCTATCAACAATGGAATCTACAACCAAAATGAACAGGAAGAACAGAAACATTCTCATAGATACACAGAACATTTTATTGGTTGCCAGTTGGGAAGGGGGTTGGGGTAATGGGTGAAACAGGTGAAGGGATTAAGAAGCACAAACTCATTGCTAGACTGACAAACCTCAAAGGGAAAGGGGTTGGGGGTGTGGGAAGAAATAAACCAAAGAACTTATGTGCATAACCAATGGACACAGACAATAGTGTGGGAAAAGGTGGGAGGGGGGCGGGAGTGGGCAGGAGGGGGTCAATGGGGGAAAAATGTGGAACATCTGTAATACATTTTACATCCAACAATAAAGATTTGGAAAAAAAAAAAAAAAAAAAAGAAAGAGTCTGCCAGGGTGTGTAGGTGCAGTAACTGAGGGTCCTTTAAAGAAGTGTGGTCAGTGTCTTCCTCGATGCCTCTGCAGCCTTACTTTTTGGGAAGTGAAAGAGGTCTTGGTCAGTGCACTTCATATTTAGAAGGACGTGACGTAAGCATAGTGTTGTGGGGAAGCTGCTTCTGCAGCTTGAAGTGGTGACATCTAAAAAAATGTCTCAGTGAACACACAGACATTCTACAGTGGATTTAATTCTAAGCTGACAAACATCTTCGATCAGTGAATTAAATATGACTGTGGGAAACGTGGTTTTGATCCTTAGATTTGGTTGTAGAGAAGTCAAGTGTATTTGCTACTTCAGGACCTTCTGTCACCCGCTAATGGCCCTGGAGATTTGTCCTAGAGACTACTCCACGGGGTTTGAAGTGAAACATGTCCTGTGTTCCGGAAATCAGTGACCCAGTCCCATGGTCTTCTCAAGTAGTCCAGGGGTGTCGGCGACATGAAGCGCACAAGCAGGTAGGTGCTACCAATGGCTATCAGTGTTCCAAAGAAAAAGAATCCTTTTTTTATCACCTGTAAACACAGCAAGAACTCACTTATTATTTGTCCAGAGGTTAAATCTTGAAATAGATTTTATTCTTAAATGACCAAAGAGTATACAACTTCCTCACTGTTCTTTAACCCACAACAGCAATTTCATTTCATGACCATTAGCGGTCTTGCAATGGCTGGTAGGGCCAAGAATTTGGGTGTTCCCTTTCTCCCTTTCTCGCTTCTTTCTCTCTGTCCAGAAACACCGGAACCCATGTGTTCTGAGTAAGGAATTCCTAGCAGTCAACCTTTGTACAGCCATTAAATAAAAACAACCCACAGTTTAGAGAAAGAGCCGTGTCCTCTGCCTGGATAAAGCACCGTGTGAAACAACTCCCTGCTCAGACCCTGCACGAAGCGTCCGAGAGAAGGTGGTGATCGTGCTACAAAATATACAAACATTGATCATTATGTCGTGCACTTGAAACTAATATAATGTTATATGTCCATCATACCTTACTAATTTAAAAAAAAAAAAAAGATGTTGAAGATTCTGTTTACCATTGCAGCTCCTCCTCTAGTCATTTTCACAGGCATTTGCTACCTTCCGGCTCCCTTGAAAGACTTGCCTTTCCCACTCTGGCCACGTGGGGGCCTTCCTTAGCTCCCAGGTGCCTTGGCCCACTCCCCTTCTCCTCCAGGGGCAGTGTGTGCCTTTCCACTGCAACTGTCCCCTCCTCTCACTAGTCCCCGCGCCAAGTGAAGGGCAGGGACTATTTCTTATTCATCACCACGCCCAGCTTAGTCTCTACACTAAAAAAAAACCAAAAACAATTGGTTGAATGAATGAAGTTGTAAACTTTCCAAAGTGGAGGATGAGGAATCCGAATGTCCATTTACTGGCTTCTCTAGGTCAGCTGCATGTGGTATAGCATTGCATTGGAATTCGATTGTTTTCTAAGTGATTCATTTTGATGCAGTTCTACGAATTAAATTCACGAGTATTGCTTGAAGCAAAAGTCGATTGCTTAAAAAAAAAGCGAAACGCCACTTAGTTAAAATAAAGTAAAAAGTGTAGAGTTAGCACCCATTTCTTTCTTTGATCATCTTCTCTTCCAAGGCTCACTCTCCCTGCCTCTAATTTTGTTCAGTAAGCATGTTGCCTTCTGTGTGTCCAGGACATTTTTTTTATTTGGCAGACAAGCACTTCATGTCTGTCGCATCATTTCTGAACTTGTCTGACATACACATAAGCAAAACAGTATGAATCTCAGCACACCAGATGGAGAAAACAAAAAACAAAAAAAACACGAGTCTGTCCCAACCTTTTTTTGCCAATGCCAGCGCCGCACCGCCTCATGGTATCTTATTCTAGAAAACGTGACCTGTAAGAAGATTTAAAGAGCACTCTGTGTATTCTTCAATGGCCCAACAGAAGATTAAAGCGAGGAAAAGTCTTAAACTCAGACCTTACCATGGTGTACAGGGGGATAAAGGTAGATGGCATGACAGCATGAAGAAACCTCACCAGATGCTTTTGGAAGATGAACCATCTCGAATTGACATGTGCTCGCATCTGCAATAATGCAAGAGTTTTAAAGAACACCTCGAATAAAGTACCTTCATGTCTTTACCACAACTTATTAATACTCTTTATTCTTATTCATCGCAAAGCCAGACACAAAGTAGTCAGATAAATTCTTATTTCCCAATCTCTTTTAGGAATTCTCAACAGTATAGGATGTTACCTTGAAAAGCTAGAGTAATTATACTAAACATGTTAGAAAACTCTATTTTGTTTAGAGGTCAGTATGGGAACTCGGTTGCAGTTTGTTTAATTGGATCTGCACCAAATCTGTGAACCCAATGATTTGAATAATTTCTGTGGCTTCCCCATTGGTTTGGAATATTGTTTAATCATATATCTGATTAAACCTACTCTATATTCAAGACAATTATTGGGCTGTAGCTGTCTTGCTTCTAAAGACACAGGGAAGATACATTAATGAGCCTTTTAGTATTTTATAGAACTTCCCCACATAAAAAACCACTCTGCTCAAGTTGAGGTCCACTTTATTACTTTCTGTCTTAAGAAAAGACGGAAAACAGCTACTCTGTCTTCTTTAAATTTATCTTGTAAATTTTTTTCATTGGATTACTTTAAAACTAGAACCACAACAATTTATTGTGAGCTTATCATGTGACTGGCTCAAAATGGAATTATGTTTTTTTTTTTTTTTCAGATTATTCATCTTCTGACCACAAATTGCTTTGGTGTTCCTTTTTTTGTTTTCAGTGTGCAATACCCCAAAGGATATTCAAAGCTACTCTAAGGGTGCGGTTGTAATGTTAAGAGTGGAAAGGCCATTTCTTAGACTTTTCATCATATTAACACATTGAAGTTATATTTTCATTAAAATAGCATATTACTAGCTCTAGTAAACGTCATTTTTGTTACCTCCTATATGCCACTGAAGTGTAGATGGAGATGATGTGTTGGGTCACTGTCACCGTCTCCATGGTCACAATCCACCTCTGTGCAAGGAAAGCTGTGTGTGTATATGTGGGTGTTCTTTTGTACCCATTCTTAAAGACCTTTGTCATCAACGTTTGTTAGGTGTCAGTGAATGATCTCATGGAACGGAGCCAGAGCCTCCCCTCACCTCTATGTAGTTGTACATGGACAGGTCTGAAATCGCGTGGTCATCTGGAATTCTAAATCTTGAGAATTCGGGAAGACACATACCTGGAAGCCAAGTTAAATAATACATCTTTTCCAAGACAGTCTATAAAAATGAGCTGGACTCTACATAGGTAAAATGAAGTAGTATATGCTCTACCCTTTTAAAACTATGGGTAACCAGGCTGTCTGACCAACAATCTATGAATACTGAGCGATAACACGTAATTGTTTCTTACTGTGATTAAATAAAACATGACAGTATAAGGTATACTGATTAGTGAATCATTATTTTTCTTCTTCTACAAATGAAAAGCAGTTCACACAGTGACTGTACATGATCCTCTCCCGTCCTGCTTAGTATTCGCTGTTCTATATGTTCCCCTGGCTCCCCCATGGACAGTGCTTCACTGCACCCAAGACACCTTATTGGCTTAATCACCAGCTCCCTCATCTCCCAGAAGCAGCCCCATGTTAATTCATGTTTGAAATCTTAACCTGGTATATGGTAAATACTGAATAAAGATATGATAAATTAATGGCTGATTAATATAACTTCCACATGGCCCAACAACTCTAGTTATTAAGGAAGCCATTTCTAAAGTCAGAGAACCTGGGTGCAAGTCCTGGTTTTACCACTTCCCAGTTACATGACTTTGGGCAACTTACTAAACTGTCTCTTGGCTTAAATTTCTTCAGTTGTAAAATAGGGACAAGAATAGTACCTGTGCTGCATGTTTCTCAGTGAGGACCAAATGAGATAATGCATTAAAAGAACATCTAGGTGCCTGGCCGGTGTGGCTCAGTGGTTGAGCGTCAACCTATGCACTAAGAGGTTGCCGGTTTGATTCCCGGTCAGTGCACATGACCAGGATGTGGGCCCGATCCCCAGTGGGGGGCAAGCAGGAGGTGGTCAATTGATGTTCTCTCTCATTGATGTTTCTCTCTCTTTCCCTCTCTCTAAAATCAATGGAGAAAAAAATAAAAAAAAACAACAGAAAACATCAAGGTACCCAACACATATGAGATGTTCAGTGATGTTAGTTATGATAATTACTGTCATATTATTATTACTTTATCTATGTTCTCTAGTAACCAAAGCCAGTATCGACAGTACGTTCTGATCTATGAACCCCCCATCCAGACGCAGTCACCACAGTGCCGGTGACTTCCTACAATGCTTTCACAAGTGTTCATTGTGAACTTACTTTGCACAAGCCTTTTTTTTTTTTAAAGCTTTACACAAATGATTTCATTTCTACAACTCTCTGAAGTTAGTATTATCATGTCTTCTTTATAAATGGAAAAAACCCTGAGACTGTAGAAAGATGACGCGACTTGCGCAAGGTCACGCAGCTGATTAGTCACGACTGGAATCCGAGGAGGTTTAAAGCTGGTTCTGGGAGTCCGTCCCTTAGAACAGTTTTAAATTCTGGAGACTTTGAGAACACATGATGCGGAGAAGCGGTGCCAGTTCTTCAGTTGTTAGGCTATTGTTTGCGATTTCTTTTAGAGATAAAAATTATGTACATCTAATTTCATTTCAGAATTACAAATAGAAACGTTAAACTTTCATATTTGTAAAATTAACATTTTGGCGGAATCGATTTTAATCAAAAGGCAAATGGAAGTATCTGATTGAGACCTTTGATCAGGCAAAAAGCAAGAAAACACTGGTGCTCCTGACTGTGTTTCTAAGGGCAGCTTCTGGTGTAGGCAGGTGATATCCTGGTTGAACAGGAGACAAAGGAGCACTTCCCTCTGGTCTGGGAACTTTCCTCTTTGTGTGGATCACCACATAGATCTCTATGTACCAACCTGGGAAGAATTATGTTGCTCTCTCTGGGTGCTCCTTGTCTGATATGGGCAACGACAGTGGCAGAGTCTATTAACAGAAACGTGTATAATCCTGAACAGGAACTATGCAGATGGGGTTTGTGATCATCCAGGATCAGACATAGGTCCACAATTAATCAGCAGGGCTAGTCCATTCCATTTAAGAATTTTTACTTACTAAGGTCATTACTGAATTTATCCATTAACTCATCAAACACCAAGCAGTCTTCAAAGCCCTGAAATAAGAAGAAAAAAAAAAGAGAGGGTGTGGGGGGAATAAGCTAGAAATAATAAAAGCTTCTTAGCAATTTTGAATAGACCTTCCACTGGTCGTTCATAGCATGTTTACCCTCAACCAGCAACAACAGCTAGATAGTCACACCTGGCACTAAATGATGATTTAAAAGACCATCAACTGTCTGCTTGATGGTTTTGTCTTTGCCCAATTCATTTATATATATATATATATATATATATATATATATGAATATATATTCTATAATATTTGGAATTTGATCAAAATTTTAAATTACTCTTGTAATTTGGATTCCATTGCTTCTTCAAGAAGAAGAATAATTACATTGTTCTTCCATGAGTATTAGAATTATATTGAAACTACCCAGGTCTTTAAGATTCATATTTAGGCAATTTAATGATAGAATAGAACTCTCATATTAATTTAGTTCCTGTGAACCATGAGTAAAGCAACTTTCCAGTATTAAGAACTCTACAAAATTAGTAAGGTGTTGTGCTAAATACAGCAGGGAAGAAGGACAGAAACCTATGTTTCCTGCTTCCTAGAAATTCAAACTGTAGTTGTAGAGGCAATATGAAATATGTAAAAAACTAAAGTAATTTTTATATTAAATATAGAGATTACATCTGCAGCAAATAAATTTACTTGTCAGTTATATAGACTGTGAATTTAGATGTGAGAGAGATCATATAGGGCTGAGATAATAATACTTTTGAATTCTCTACTTAACTCATTTGCTCTCTAAGAATCTCTATGAGGTAGGTACTGTTAAAATCCCAATTTTACAGATAAGGAAATAAAGATAAATTAGTTGTGCAAACGCATATTTTAACAAGTTGTGGAGTCAGAATTTGAACCCAGGCCTCTCCTGGAGCCTGGGCATTTATCCACTAACATTGGTGTGTTCTAATGGAGTACTATGCAGCTATAAGAAAGAAAGAGCTCTTATCCTTTGAGATGACATGGAGAGACCTGGAAAGTACCATCCTAAGCGAAACAAGCCAAACAGAGAAAGACAAGTATCATATGATCTCACTTATTTGTGGAATATAATGAACATAACAGTCTGAGGAATGGGGTAGTCCCAGAGACGTGGAAGTAGGGTACAGACTGACAATCCCCAGAAGAGAGGGTGGGGGAGAGATAAACCACAGAACTTATGTGCATATATGCATGACCAATGGACATGGACAGCAAAGCTGGGGACAGGGCGGGGAGGGACGGGGAGGAGGGTGTCAATGGGAGAAACATCTATAACAAAAATGAATAAATAAATAAATAAAAATATTGGTGTGTTCTTATGTTTTCATAAAACAGAATGTTTATCACTGCTTTGTAGAAAATAAAATTGATTAGATTCACAACCTATTTATACTTGGGATATATCCCAATAACCAAAACAATAAAAGACTATGATTACAAAGCTCTTAGTTGTCAAACACACACACGTGATATTTGAACACTATTTCTTTTCTGAAATATTTTTTCTAGCCAGATGATAAAATTTTCATGACAACAGTAGTATTCAATATCTAATCTGTTTCAAAGTTTTATTTAACCCCATCAATTGTGTTTTTCATTCCTTGGGGGGGGGGGTGAAGAAAAAAAAAGATAATTTGAGATCTTGTCTTGCTTTGAACCTAACATTTATATAATTTATATACTATATATTATATATTTATATAATAATCTCTGGAAAATATTTTAAAAATTGTTTTGTATCGCTGATAGTCAAGTCTCCAAATTTTAAGCTAGCAATACATTTTCTAACTGCACAGATAATATGCTTTTTTTTTTCTACATTAAATTACTGGATCAATAATTCAAGACTTGACTATAGTTACTGATGAATCTAGTTCAACAGCTGGTATGATTGTTGAATTGATTGTGTTCTCAGAGATTCTGTGGGGATAGTTTTAGACATGTTTTGTTTTCATTTAAGATGTTTGGGTTGGGATTCAGCTGGGGCAAAGAACTTACCGCATTCATTCCTTGCCCAAAAAAGGGCACTATGGCGTGGGCTGCGTCGCCCAATAGCACGCAGCGTGACTTAAAGTGAAAAGGAGAACACTTCACAGAGATCATGGGCTGGGCAGGCAACAGGAAGAAATCTCGTGTCAGGGCTCGCCTTCGGAGAAAAATAATCGAAGTGTAAAGACGTTAAATTGGGTACGAAATATTCTGTAATTCTTTCACATTTACTGGCTTTTTTATTACCAGAGGACTTCATTGACAAATGCACCAGAATGGCAGGGAGAAAACAGGAAAGGGAGAAACTGAAGTTCCTTCTGATCCCCAAGTTTCTCCATTGTCCCAATCACCGTCTTGATTTGCAACAATATTAATCATATTTTATTATTTTTGTTGTTGTTGTTCAGATAGAGTGGGAGGGAGAGAGAAAGAGAAACATCGATGTGAAAGGGACACATCGAGTGGTTGCCAACCGCACGACCCAACCAGGGCCGGGGACAAACTGCAACCGAGGTACGTGCCCTTAGCGGGAACCGAACCCGGGTCTCTCTGGACCGCAGGCTGATGCTCTAACCGCTGAGCCAAACCAGCCAGGGCTTAATCATATTTTAAAAGAACACATTTGGCTGCATTTCAGTGATTTAAAATACGCATGTGTTACGTGCCATGCCAGTTTCATGTACGTGGATCATGCAATTTTCAGTGATGCTGGTGCGTGTAGGTTTGCACAGAAACATCGAGATGCTGCTGTGTGTTTGATGAAGCCAAAACAAACCAAAATAAAAGTTTATGTGAATTTATATGTATTTGAAAGTAGACGGCTATAATCAAGCTAGTGTTTGAAAAGCATCTGCAGAGGTTCTATGGAAGCCGTTAAGTGGAGAAACAGTATGTAATCTGGATCGTAAATCTGGTTGGAAAGGCAAGAAATAGCCATGGGACATAAGGGTTATATTTTGGTGTCCAGACAGATTTCCACCACGGTTGGAGAAGGAGAGATAAAAATAGACAATTAGTCAGCAGGAAAGGACGAAAATGGGCTGGCAGTGGGCTGTCCATTTTACATAGTCAGCTCATTAAATTTTCACAACTGCCCTAAAAAATAGGTGTCCTGATGCCCATTTTAAAGATGAAAAGCCTGAGACTGGGGGATGTAAGGGACAGAGCAGTATTAAAATCTTCTGTTTCTGCAGCCTTGTGCTGTCTCCATGACGACATGACTGGAGGGAGAAAGTGAACTGGCGTTCAGGAGGGAAGGACAGTGTGGGCAGAGGCACGGAGTGAGACCAGATGACAAAGGCTCACATGGAGGGTGATGTTGACATGGGCCCGAGGAGCCGTGGGTTCTAAGCCAGACAGCTAATACAGTTAGCTGTTAATCTTGGGGAACTTAATTTGCGCCAGGCTCTGTGATGAATTATTTATAGGCACGGTGTCCTTTAGCCTTCACAGTAACCATTTACCTTAGGGTCTGAGGCCAGGAGAGCTCACACAGCTAGTAAGTGGTAGACCTGAACTTGTGCCACCGATTTGCTCATCCAGCTGGGGCCTGAAAGCTTGCACAGGATATAGAAAGGCCCAGGGACCTCGGTGACGTCTTTACCAGAGAAACTGGCCCTGGCCTGGGGTTGTTCAACTAACTGCTCACATCACAGTGTCCACTTCATGTCTAGGTCACTGTGCGACTGGACATGTTTAAGCAGATATGAAATTACAGTCGGCCCTCTTTTATCAGGTTAATCAGTTTCAGACTCTCCCAAGATAAATGAATTTCCGCGAAGTAGGATTCTTTATTTACATAGGTGCATAACCCTCACTTGATTTTTGAGTAAGTCAAATCAATGGAGCAAAAGGCATGATTGCACATCTTGAAACTCACTCTCCCATTAGAGGCACGGAGTCCGGAAAGTACTTGTAGAAGAAATCCAGCACATCTCTGCTCGTTAGGAGTTTCTCAAACTCTTCGAAGGGCATGAACAACGTACACGTGAAAGATTTGTTCTGTGAGGAAAAGAACAGCGTGAGAGCGAGCAGGGGGCCCGTGACATGAGCACAAAGGTGGAGCCCTAAGTCACAGGGTTCTTGCTGTGGTCTCCGGGTGCCTGGGAGGAATGTCCAAGCAGATAGAAAGCACCCTCCCTCTTTTCCCAGACCCCCAAAGGACAGCTCCCCCAAGTCTCACGGCTACCCCCTAGCTTCTCAGTTTTTAGGAGAATTCTAGACATTTTTCACCAAGTAAACACTACACCTTCGATTCCTAATAGGTTGGTTGGATTTACTTTCTCCTTTTTTGCTCTATTGTTCGTTTTATGGCAGTATTACTAGGCATTGGCCCCCGGAACTGATAACAAGAGAAAGAAAAAGACCAGCCAGAGAAGCAGATAGCTCTATCTGTCTGTATTACCTCATCATCATAATAACAAAAACAAAATAACAATAACAGTGATGCATATTTTTAATATATTTATATATCTGAATAGTGCCGAGTCTAATGAAAGAACAGCCCTACTATTTTTTGATAATGGATATCCCAGTGTTTTATAAATCTTAAAGGTGGAAAGTACTTCCTAATATACAACCCAAGTCTCTTTGGCTTTATTTGGGGAACATTTCTTCCCGCACTGTCTTGGGAAAGATGACAGGCCCCATGATGCATGACCCCCAATAATCATCCATGTATGTTAAATCTTCCCGATGTAAATGACAGGAACGACTTCAGGGGTTTCCTCAGAAGTCCCCAAAGTTTCAAAGATGTAATCACTAAGTAGACTAAAGGATGATTAGATTAATTAGGTATACACATACTAAGTGCAAAAGTAAATAACGGATGGCATTAATTACAGATGCAGGATTACAGTTGATAAGAGGTTCTATTCTACCTTGTTAGGAAGTGCGATCATCATGAAGGTATTTCTAGGCCAAATGTGCAGATAATTAGGTTCCATGGCAAACTGCAGAAAAAATATGTTTGATTAGCATATTAATGCAACATATTTATAAATCGGACTCTGCTTATTTTATAATAATTTCCACAGCCATTCAAATCAGTGTTGTAGTCATGGTGTTATGCACATCTTTGCTACATGAAGTAGAAGCAGTCTTAGAAAATACTTAGAAAATACCTAAATAATCTTAGGTGAGGTTATTTTTGTTTTTAATAGAACCATTGCCTTTTATTAAAAATGTACTTGATCACTTGACTTCAGTGCCCTATTCCGTATACCACTAGGGTGGGTGTTTGATACACTAGGTATAACTGAAGATTTGAGAACAGGCTACAAGACTTTCACTCTCTCTTCTTCTCTTTATTTCCACACACACACACTCATGAACACACATACATAAGATATATATATATATATATATATATATATATATACACACTACATATGTATGGATATACATATATGTGTGTGCACTATTTTTATACTTTATTTTCACCTTATTTGTATGGATGAAAATTACATGGGCAAAACCAAATTTTACAAACAAGCCTCTTATCACTTGTTTCCCACAACATAAACAGTAAAGAGATCTGGTCTTTTTAGTGACCCGTCTACAGTGCAATAGCAGCCTGAGTATGTGTTTATTAGATCAATGGACCCAAGACCCAACTGACCCAAACCCTTATGGTTCCCAGGAATATTTTATGTATACAAGAGTATACAACTAATTTTCCAGCTATTTCGGGTTTGCATTGCTTTTTATAACTGCTTAGAAAGCACGTATCTTGTGTATCTTGTACATAGTAAGAACACCGGAAGCACACAGTAGTCTCCTAGCTACCATTTGCCTACCTTGTCAGAGTTATTTGTGGGTTAGGAGAAGAGAATATGCCTTCCTGGCTTTTTAATCCCCAGAGCCCCAAAGAAAGCCCAACACATAGACATAGAAACGAATAAATGCATAACTCTTTGACCTCAAAGACCTTACAGTGCGGTTGAATAGGCAACACGTAACCATGTGGGAAGTCAAATAACTTCCCTTTAACACCAGTTCAAGTGGTAGAGAGGCAGTAGGTGATTTGGTGCTCATTTAGAAGTATAGGAAGTAAAAGCCAGGCAGGTAACACGTTTGTGGGGGTGGGAGTGGTTAAAACAAGGGATTCGTGGATTATATTGAAGGGCACTGGCTTCTGGGTGAACTTGCCAGGCAAAGTGAGGCTGCACAGGTGAGCAGTGTTTGAGACAGGTAGCCAGGAGGCCAGCCAGGGGAGGCAAATGTCCCTGCTTTTCCCTCTTGCTATCTTTTGACCACTTCTACAACCTTTCAGAGCTCCAAAGCTAAGAAAGAGCAGATACATGACAGCTGACCAATTTATCATTTAATGCAACAGCGAAGGTTTAAATTGCTGCTTCAAAACAGTTTGGTAGATAACATATGCCTCCCATCTTCACCGCTGGCATAGATAATGGTTTATACGTTGTTTTGAGATAGCCAAAATGATACCAAGAACATTTTGGTGTTCATACATATTGCATGATGTTGCAAAACAACCCTTTAAGTTTTCAGCTTTTTATTACCAGTTCATGCAATCAATAGACATTCTTATCCAACAGCAGTTCAAAGGTCAGTCTTATAGTAATCACCATTGGTCCTCTCACCACAAGTCCCTCCAAACATAAACTCTAAGCCAAAGCAGTTTGCTCACTGTGGAAAAACAGCTGTAAGATGAGCTTCCCATTCATTTCCCCAAAGCATCCCTTTCATATTCACCCAATACTGCCACTCACCCGATTTCTCATCCCCACTTCAATAATCAGAGATGCAGTGAGAGTATCTGTTACATTAAAAAGGAAAGAAGAAAGGAAGGAAGGAAGGAAGGAAGGAAGGAAGGAAGGAAGGAAGGAAGGAAGGAAGGAAGGAGGAGGGAGGGAGGGAGGGAGGGAGGGAGGGAGGGAGGGAGGGAGGGAAGGAAGGGAGGGAAAAAAACAAAGAATAGTTTTCACTAGATTGTTTTTGGGCCAAGTCAAAATATTCCCATGTCAGGGTCACACTGCTATGTCAAAATGGTGGTTTTTGTAAACCACTAATTGTTACTCTGATATATGGATGCCTAGAAAATAAACAGTATCAAATTTACACTAGGAGACATGATTCCATGCAAGTTTGGGACGATTTTTGAACAGAAACCTAATATCCTGATGTTCAGGATTATCAGATCCTGGGCCATGGGAATAGGATCTGCCTGAAAATCACAGAATCAGTATTGAAGAATTAGTAACACATTTTTTACCAGGAAGAAAAAATAGAAAGACAATAAGCCCTGGCCAATTTGGCTCAGAGGTTAGACATCGGCCCGGAGACCAGAGAGTCCTGGGTCCACTTCCTGCTAAGGGCATGTACCTCGGTTGAGGTTTGTCCCCAGCCCCGGTTGGGGTCATGTGGGTGGCGACCAGTCGATATGTCTCTCTCACATCGATGTTTCTCTCTCTCTCTTCCCCCCTCCCTCCCTCCCACTCTATCTGAAGATAAATGCAAAAAAAAGTCCTCAGGTGAGGATAAAAAAAAAGACAATAAAATCTTAAAATATGGATTTGACTGATGGATACAGTGTGGTATGTCACTGGTATAAAATACCACTATACCAAATTGACTAGCTATTTTACAGATATCTGAATTTCAGATAGATAGATTAAATCAGTACCTTAAAAAAAAAAAGATGTTTTATATGCAAATCAAGTATTTTACTAAAGCTGTTTATTTATCCTTATTTATAAACCAAGATCTTTATTCCTTTCTTTGGGATTTTAGTTTTTCTTAATAAGTTCCTACATTTATTTGCTTATGACAATATAAAATATACATATCACATACAGTTTAATATGGGAACAAGGAAATAAGGAAACTTTTTGGAGAACATACTCACCAATGATACATCTGACAAGGGGTTAATATCCAAAATTTATAAGGAGCTTATAAAACTCAACACTGAAAAACCAAATACTCCAATTAAAAAATGGACAAAATGCCCAGCTGGTGTGGTTCAGTGGACTGAGAGTTTTCCCATGGACTGAGAGGTCCTGGTTCTATTTCTGGTCAGGGCACATACCCGGGTTTTGGGCTCGATCCCCAGTAAGGGGCGTGCAGGAGGTAGCTGTTTGATGTTTCTCACATTGATGTTTCTATCTCTCTCTCTCTAAAAAATCAATAAAACATATTTTTAAAAAAATGAGCAAAGGACCTGAGTAGACACTTTTCCAAAGAGGGCATATAGATTGCCAATAGACATATGAAAAGTTGCTCAGCATCAGAGAAATGCAAATTAAAACCACAATGAGATATCACCTCACACATCTGTCAGAATGACTATCATCAATGAGTCAACAAACAACAAGTGTTGTCAAGGATGTGGAGAAAAGGGAACCGTCATGCACTGTTGGTGGAAATGCAGACTGGTGCAGCCACTGTGGAAAGCTGTATGGACATACCTCAAAAAGTCAAAAATAAAACTGCCTCATGATTCCACTTCTGGGAATTTACCTGAAGAAGCCCGAAACACTGATTTGAAAGACTATGTGCACCCCTATGTTTATTGCAGCATTATTTACAATAGCCAAATTTGGAAGCAGCCCAAGTGTCCATCAGTAGATGAGTGGATAGAAAAGCTGTGGTTCATTTGCACAATGGAATACTACTTGGCCAAAAAAAGAAGAAGGAAATCTTACCCTTTCAACAGCATAAATAGACCTGGAGAGTATTATGTGAAGTGAAATAAGCCAGTTAGAGACAGACAAGTACCATATGATTTCACTTATATGGGGAATCTAATGAACAAAATAAACGAACAAACAAAGTGGAGACAGACTCATGGACACAGAGAACAGACTGACAGCTGTCAAAGGGGAGGGGGTTAGGGGCTGGGTGAGAAGGATAAAGGGATTAAGCAAGAAAACAAAGAAAGACTCAATGACAGAGACAACAATATGGTGATTGCCAGAGGGAAGGAGAGTGGGGTAGTTAGAAGAAGGTACAGGGGGGATCAATGGTGATGGAAGGTGGCTTGACTTGGGGTGGCGAACACACAATACAACATGCAGATGATGTATTATGGAATTGTACACCTGAAATCTGTATCATTTTATTAACCAATGTCACCCCAATAAATTTAAAATATGAAAAATAAAAGAGAAGGAAATCATAGAAAGAGGAAAAGAAATGGATGTTTTATATGCAAACAAAGTGTTTAACTAATGCTATTTACTGATCCTTACTTATAAGCCAAGTTCCTTATTCCTTTCTTTGGGATTTTAGTTTCCCTTAATAAGTTCCGACATTTACTTGCTTATGACAATGTAAAATACACATCTCACATATTTGCCTCAGGCCACACATATGGTTTAACATGGAACGAGGGAATAAGGAAACTCTTTGGAAATCTCTTTGCAACACCTTGCTGTTCGCTTTATTTAACAACAATTATTGATTTAAGCATGAGAACAAGACCTCTGGACTGTCCGTGTACGGAACTGATTCCCAACCCATTTTCTTCTCTCAAGAGAAAACAGAAAAATGACATTATTATGTAAGACAAGTTCCCTGAGTGTTTTAGTAAGGTAGCTGTATTTCCTCTTTCTTTACTACGTAGGCAAGTATATCAAAAGGTAAGGAAGAGAGAGTGGTATTATTAAAGAGATACCTATAGCCCAAATTATTACTGATGACAAAGTACTTGTTCACCACTATAGCCCAAATTATTACTGATGACAAAGTACTTGTTCCACACCTCAAAACTGACTAAGACCCGCGACCAAGAACAGCTGCACCAAAAGATGCTTCTACACCAACATGAGGTGGGTGTGCGGGGGGGTGGGGGGAGGAAAGGAAGGGACTTACCTCCCCATTCTTAGGGGGAATGGTCAGCTCCATATAGCCATGAGGAATGTACTGCTGACTGTAATCGAAGCGGGGTTTCTTCATGAGGTGAGTTCTGACAGTTGAATAGGCTCCATCACATCCTACAATGAGGTCATAAGTGACATCTTTGGGAACACTGTCAGATCTGAAAAATAAAATGAACCACCCAAAAATAAAAAATAAAAAAGGTCTAGTGGTGAAAAGCAGGTCTCAGTGGGGTTTACTCACTTTTACAAATCTGACCACAAGCTTTGAGATGATAGCTATAAAAAGATGATAACACTCATCCCTATCACGGGTTTTCTTCTGAGAATGAGATTAACACACAACCATATGACTAATAACGACTAACAACCATACGATTAATAACGACATGTTGTGAGGTCATGGAAGTATGTCCAAGATTTGAGTTCCCTGCATGAAACAGGAGACTCTTGAAGAGAAGGCAAAGTGTTCTAAGTGGAGGGAATGTATGAACCACCACAGGGATGTGGCCAGGGCACTTTAGCAGCAATGTCTAGTTGGAGCAGAAGGTAACAAAAGATAAGCTTAAGAAAAGAATACAGTGTGGGGAGAAGAAGATAATTTTAAATGTAAGACAAAAGATTTAAAAATATTATCCTGCCAAAAGGGAAAAAGGTATTTTTTTCTATTGGGGAGATGATGTATGAAAAGTGGCAACTTAAGAAAGCTCACTCACAGGGGACATATTGAAGTGGAGGCAGAAGGTAGAGGAGAAGAGAGATGGGAACAAGGTGACCACAATAGCCTACCTGTGCAGGTATGACTGCCCAGTACTGTAGTGCTCAGGACGAAGGAGATATGGACTCTGAGGCCAGTGGAAAAATGAGGAGAAAATAGGGAAAGGGGCACGTGATTATGATTCTAATTATCTGGGCAACAGAACTAGAGAAGTCAGGATGGGACATGCTTGGAGACAAGCAGATGATCAAGGTTTCAGATGTGTTTGAGGTCATGGCGAGAGGGATGGATGAAAATGTTTCATGAGAAAATGACATTGATTAGGATTGAATTTAGGACTGAGAATGAAGGTACTGGCCCGGGCTGGAGAGGCTCATTGTTGAGATTTGAGTTTACACGTGGTTGTTGAACAAACTGGGAATCTATGACTTATTATAAGAGTGGGACTTGAGGCTGGAACTTCAGAGGAAATAGAGTCAGCTAAGGAGAGGAGGACAAATACATCCAGAAAGAGGGGAGAGGAAGCAGGGCTGGGAGAGTCATCTGTTTCTAGGGAGGACAGAGGGTGAAGCAGTGTGGTTGAATCTAGAACCTAGTTGAATTACCCTTTTAGTAACCATTTAACTCTTTCAAAAGAGCCAAAGGACAAAGTTTACAGCTACAATTCTCCACTTTTGCCTCTGAAGTCAACAGGCTGATGGGTGATTACCCAATTACTGTGATCATTCCTTCCTCAGGATTACATTTCAACAGCTTGTGGCCAAAGTACACCTTCACGTTGGGATATTTCTCAACAGCTAAGGAAACAAGGAGAGAAAACAAATACAAATAAAATTCTAATTCTCATTTCACTTAATCAAACTAAAATAGTAATTATTTTCAGATGTTCGTATGATAGAGTTATTTATTCTTATCCATGTAAAAAATGTTTAAAGGGATACTTTTATTGGGTAAGTGTTCCAGGATGATTTGATAATAAAAGACATAAATAAAAATCAACTACTCTCATCTTAAAAAGAAAAATCCAACTAACCCCATTATGCAAATTTTTACATTGCTAAGATTATTGGCACTCTGAAAAGGAAACAGGTATTACAATTTTCAAATAGATTCGGAGACATGGAAGTAGGGAACAGACTGACAAACCTCAGAGGGAAGGGGGGTTGGGGGTTGGGAAGAAATAAACCAAAGAACTTTTATGCATATGTACATGGCCAATGGACACAGACAACAGTGCAGTGAAGGCAGGCACGTGGGAGCGGGGAGGAGGGTCAATGGGGGTAAAAAGGAGGAACATCTGTAATAGTTTCAACAATAAAGGTCATTTTTTTAAAAAGTTGCCTGTAATTTAAGGCTCTATTTGTGATTGAAAATATTCAGCCAAACTCTTCCTCATATGCCTGCCATGAGCCGTCTAGACTTCTAATTCAAGTTGTAACAAACATGGACGACTGACACCAATTCTTTGTATAATCACATACTGGAACACTTAGGGGGAAATGAGTAAACAGATGGGAAATGTCTCAATAACCAGAATTAGGTGGTTTCAGTGTTTTTATTTTTATTTTTTGCCTGCTAGCCATCTATAAAATGTAGTGATTTTCATGTTCTTGTCATAGGAGTAAAATATGATTTTTGTCCCTACGAATTCTCAAGGATAGGAAAGCCATCATTACAGGTTACTTATTGTTTTTAAAGCTATAAGTCAGGATGTAGGGATTAGTTTAAAACCATTTATCTTATAAATGGGGTAATGAAGGCCCTGGAAGGGAAAGGAAGATGCCTGAGATCACAGAACATCTGCCGGAGCTTCTGACTTTCAACTCGAATTCTCTTCTGCCTCAGATTTTGGATTCTTTTATTCCATTTTGATTGAGTTTGATTGGGGGTTTGAAGACTTTAAGATTCTTCTTGACCTTCACACTGCCTGCATCATACAAAGCAACATTTATATCCAGGACTGGCTACATAATCTGTGGGAACCAGTACAAAATGAAAATACTAGGCCTGTTTTTGAACTTAAAATAAATGGAATCATAGTTAAAAAAAAAAAAAAAGATTCTTGAGTGTGGGGCTGGAAGTTTTAGGATATTGAAATCTGAATGACCTTAAGCCAAAGACTTATTTGTGTCTAAGAAATCTTTTGGCAAATAACTTTGGAGAAATCAAAATTTACCTGAACCACCAAGGTTACCTTTTACAAACGCAAAATGCATTTGTGGGATCAACTTTATTATATTCTTTTCTTAAATGTACTCTAATACATCCCGAAGAATTTTCCATAGAACAGTAGTCCTGGGATGTGCTCCCTAAAAGAAACCAAACTTTTCTGTGGTCAAATTTTTAGAGAAATGCTAACACTGACCATCCTGGCTGTGCTCGCCAGGTCTCTGGCCATCTGTGGCTCCTGAGTGTTTGAAATGTGGGGTTGGTTCAAATGGAGATGTGTTGTATACACTGGACTTTTACAACTTAGTACAAAAACAAAACAAAACAGCCCTGGCTGTTTGGGCTCAGTGGTTAGAATGTTGACCCATGGATCAGAGGGTCGAAGGTTTGATTCCAGTCAAGGGCACGTACCTTGGTTGACATCCTATCCCCAGCCCTGGTTGGGGTCATGCGGGAGGCAACCAATCAGTAGGTCTCTCTTACATCAATGTTTCTCTCTCTCCCTCCCTTCCACTTATCTGAAAATCAATGGAAAAAATGTCCTCGGGTGAGGATTAAAATCAAAACAAAACAAAAAAATAAGAGAATGAAAATGTCTTATAAATAACTGTCATGTGGACTGCACATTAAAATGATAACATTTGGAATATATTAGGTTGAAATACATTGCTAAGTTCACCTGTTTCTTTTTAGTTTATTTTTTAAATGTGGTCAATTAAAAATTACACATGTGCCCATCATCTGAGTCTATATCTTGGACAGCACTGCCCTAGAAGATCTGCAATGCAGACCAGTAGAATAAAGGCCCTGAGAAGTACTGTAAGAAGAAAACTTAAAACTTGTTTGATGCAGCACTTATCAAACTCAATTGACCATTCATGTCCTTTTCCTCTTTGTCTTGCTCAGCAGTTCCTAACATCTCCCGGAATAGTGAACTGTGAAAGAAACCCTCATGGAATGCTGATGCAGGAAAATGCTTTAGTTAGAATGTCTCAGAGGGGAAGCTGCTCAGTCAGGAAGAAGTGAGCATGTGAATTAACTGACTGTGTGGAATGGGCAGCTCGTCCGTTTGATCTGTGTAAAGGAATAAAGAACTTTACATTGCAAAGTGTAGGAGTCAAGAGGCTGGGCGTGCATCTTACTACGGTGTCTATAGGGTTTATGGACATGCGTACTGTGCAGCACGGTTCAGTGACGAGCAGTGCGGGGCCTTCTGGTCTATGCACCAAGGTTGGATCTTCCTCTGTAGGCTGGCTCCTTAGTATTAGCAGATGTTTCATAAATCATATCGGAGGCAGTGACAGTAGTAGTTAAAAGCATGGACTTTGGGATAAACAGACTCAAGTTTAAGTCCAGATTCTACCGCTTATTAACTGCATGACCTGTTACCCTGTGGAGTCCTCTGAGCCTCCTTCACCATCCATACAACTATGATCAAGTTCATTCCCATCTCATAGTTGTAGGGAGGGTTATACAAATCAAAGATATGAAGCACTTAACATAGTGTCTGGTGCCTCAATGGATGTTTATATCTTGGACAGCACTGCCCTAGAAGATCTGCAATGCAAATCTGAAATGATAGTTATTTATCGTTTTCATCTTGATAAATTCAGAGGATACTATAAAAAGATGGTCCTGGGTCACCTATACTACATTTTTAAAAGGTGTTTTTAGGTTTATTTATTTTCTTAAGATCAACATGAATCTATCTAGCCACCTAGCCCTACCCCACCCATCTGCCCATAAAAAAGACAAACTTATCAATGTAGGTAAAGAAATTAAATTAAGAATACTAAGACCTATGTCTTAAGTCCCAGATGAATCAACTAGAATGACTTTCTTCATCACTCCTCCTCCCAGTTTGAGGCAATTCAATTCGAAAGACATATTGCGAACTGGCATGGAGCCTTTGCCTCCCAAAAAGCAGAGACTGCTTGACTGTATCAAGACAGACTGCTTTGGGAGGCACGAGAAACACTGAAGAGGCACGCTTTGCAGGGAGTGAATGCGGTACAAATGCGGAAGAGGAGAGAAAACCACTATGATCAAGGGGTACAGGGATCTGATTGGATTGATTAGCTAAGCTACAGATTTAATTGCCAATCCAAGGTTTCCGCCATTAATTTACAGGCCTTTTTAGCTACTCAAACGAGAAAACTTAGGGTTATATTTTACGCCATCCTCTTTCTCAACCTCCAGTGCCCTCTAACTATTGGGTCTCCATGTACAATGAATACAAATACAGGGGATCTACTCCCATTGCTATAGCTCTAGTCTAGGACCTCGTTTCTGCACACAGGCGTTATCCTAATATCCTGAAGACAGCAGCCCTCTGTTAGTGTCTGTTTCTGAAATGCAAATCTAAGTGTGTTACTTTGCAAATCATTAGAGCATAACTGTTGTTCCACTAGACTGCATTATTCATCCAATGCTTACAAGACAACAGGAATTCAGTGCACGTTGAACAAATGATTTTCATTTAGATCATTGAAAATGTAAAAAAGAGATGCCAGAGAATGTATCACTACTGATTTTCAAGGTCTCGGTACTGTACATAGTCCTGCTCTTAATAGCTCATAAAAAGAAATAGTAAACAAATCCTAATAAATCATGTGACAAGATTAGCATCATGTGCTATACTCAGAATGAAAACTGGTAAAAAAAAAAGCATTGGACTTACCAGTTAATAGATCCTTGTTTAGATTTTCTCTGCTTATAGAAAGAATATACTGCAAGAAAAATATAGTAGATACTGTTTGTTTCTGGAGAATGGACAAATATAATTCTATGCTACTCACTCAGAAATAGGAAAAATGTATTACTTAGCAGAAGTTTACAAGCTCGGTTTTATGATCATTTAGCTAAGTAGCCTTTTTAAAAAATAAACACTCTAACCAAATACATGTAATGTGATGCTTATGTTTAAACTTAGGCTTCTTCAAAGTTTGATACTATACAAACCAAACGCTTCTCTTGTAGGAAAATATTATTTTCACTAAGATAGTTTTGTTTTAACAACAAATCGTAAAGTTCATATTTTTGTCTTAGGTCTCCAAATGGAGCTGTTTAGAAAAACTTCAGAGAAGACAACATCACTAGAATAAATGTATTATTTTCCAAAGAGATTACTTTGAAGGCCTCAAGTTTAATGTGAATGTGTGTGTGTGTGTGTGTGTGTGTGTGTGGTGGTGGTGGTGGTAGCGGTGGTTGTGGACAGAAGGGGGATGGTAGGAGTGGACCAACCCTCCCTGCGATACAGTAGTTTGTGACTTTGTAGGACAATCCAGTGGGGTTCACTGCTTCTGAGGTATGGCAGGCACAGTACATAGGGCCCACCATATTTTTAGGGGTACATTAAAATGTTTTAATTTTAGTTTATTTTAATATCAGAACAAAAATAAGTGTAATGAATATAGATTAGATCAATATTCATACCATGTATTCATCCAAATCTTATTTTTACTATTTATTGTTTTACAGAGAAGGAGGCCCACGAAGGCTAGAGTGCCTACCTAGAGCCCATGAAAAACATAACACAGCCTTGCAATTCAGCGTGAATCGATTGCTTTAAATTTTAACCACAGAATTTTCCATACTATGGCATATTGCATTTAACACAAATATACTGATTTATAAATCTTCACCTCACCCAAATGCAGACATTTAAAATTAACAGCTAAATCTATAGTTGGAATAAAAATAACGTGGTCATGCTACAGAGGCAATGACTGTGGAAGAGTTTCCTGCGTCGTGGTTATGAATGGAAATGAGCAGGGACCTACTAATTCTTTCTCCCACTTCTGTTTTGCAGTCTTCTATGTCATTAATAACCTCATGTCAATGGAAACCACACTTGTTATTCTAAGTATATCAGGCAACATTCTAACTATAAAGGCTCATTTACATGGGGGAAATATTCTTTCCATATCAATAATCAGGCTTGATTAATATCTGGGAATCAATAGACACATGGGTCCTGGAGACAGACACAGAAGGGTCCCTGTTTGGTCTACTCTGTATCTTTGGGTAGTATTTTTTCATAATCAAAAGTCAGAGTCACTCCCATCAGTCTTTAATTTCTAAAAGGTTGATCTTTTGAAGAATAAATATAAATAAGAGCTATAAAGTGGCTCTTATAACCAAAATAATAATAATGATGATAATCATCATCATCATCTAAAGGAAGCTGAATTATCTCCATTGGAAATTTCTAAGACAATAGTTACAGTGTTGCCTTTTTCAAATATATTAGGAAAAAATGTTCACATTCTAGGTACTGAATGCCTTCAGATGGGAACACTCCTAGTAGGGGAGAGCCATGATTTTGGGCTTGGGAGTTTAGAAGTAAAAATTGGAGCCCTGCCGATGTGGCTCAGTGGTTGAGCATTGACCCAGGCACCAGGAGGTCATCAGTTTGATCCCGTCAGGGCACACACCCAGGTTGTGGCGCAGATCCCCAGTGGGGGCCATGCAGGAGGTGGCCCATCCATGTTCTCTCTCATCCATGTTTCTATCTCTCTCTCCCTGTCCCTTCCTCTCTCTCTAAAAATCAATAGAGAAAAAAAAAATTTTTTTTAATTGGGGAGCTCTGATTTACTCTGTATATTAGGGAATATTTTGATAATTCCCAGGGCAATTTGGGAGAGAAATGAGAGAAACCAGCAAGACAGGAAGAACCTGGACACTGCAGGGGAAAAAACCAGCTGGAAGAGGAAGGCTCAGAGAAGGGGTTCATGCATTTTAGAGGTTTAACTGTGCACATTAGGGATTTCAAAGTTGTTAGCTGTGTGCAGGGTGGGCCCTCCAGGATCCACAGACTTCAGCATATTCATGTGTCTTCTCAGTGAGTGTCATTTGCAGAAATTGGTGGGAGGGGTAAACCTCATGTCTGGATCATCACAGTACACCGCCGATACTAGACGAGAGGGAGTAGACACCTAGAGGCAGCAGAGGCCAATAGAAAGTAGGCTCCCTGGGGATCCATAGAAATCCAGGGGTCATGGGTGGGGGGGACTTAGATTTCCACAGGACGGAATTAAGCAGTTCAAAGCAATCTTAAAGAATAAGGAGGCCCCCATGTTTGATTTAGATATCAAAGTAATGATGCAAACCAAAGAAAGAGGGGTGGCTATAAATTTAGCATTAACTCAATTCATTTTTTAAAAATATATTTTATTTTATTTTTTAGGGAGAGAGAGATAGAAACATTGATGAGAGAGAACATAGATTGGCCGCCTCCTGCATGCCCCACACTGAGGATTTGGCCCACAATCTGGGCATGTGCCCCGACTAGGAATCAAACTGGCGACCTCTTGGTGCATGGGTCGATGCTCAACCACTGAGCCGCACCAGCTGGGCCGCATGAACTCAATTCTTAAGAATTGAGAAATGGCAGGATTGGTGGGCGAAGAGTCATTTCCTCCTCCTTCTAATGTAATGAAGGCCCCCAAATGGAAACCCCCAGTGACACTGTCACCCTGTTGGAAAATCATTGATGATGAACCTTCTTCTCTCTGTCCCTCTCTGGTGGTACCGGTAGGGAAGCCAATTTTAGTCTCAGGTCTAAGTCACTTCTAGCTTTTCTGATAATCTGAGCCATATCTCACTCCTTGGTCTGTTTGTACTGTATTGATTCACTCTTTGCTGAGGGGATGGGTATGATGGATTGGCCTCCCTCAGCACATTCTACGTTCATCCAAGAAGAGGGTGGGATGATTATTATGAGTCACTCTCAATGTAGGAAAAGATGTAGCGTAACTAAGTAGTACTGCCCAGCTCTCCTGTGAGGGCCTCTTACACCACGCTCTGCTGGCTCTGTCTCAGAGGTAACCTGCCTCATGTTTCCTCTGACCTGACCTCAGGTGACCATGCAGCCTCGCTCTTCGTCTGTAAAGCAAGGTGGTTGGATTCGGTGAATCCAAGTTTGCTGATCACTGTCAGATTCTGTTAGGAGAAAATGATTTACATGTTTCCTCCTCCAATACACACGTGGCACTCAAACCTTTATATTTTTTAGAAATCTGGTCTCACCCAACTTGCCTCCGTTGATAGACCCTCACTGGATTGGGAAAGCGCTATCTCACTGCTGATTTAAGATCTCAACACATCGTCTACCTCAAGTCTCACTTTCTCTGTGAAGACTTCTCCGAAAACCAAAGCCCTCCTCCCTCTGAACCACAAGCTGAGCGTTCCTGCCATCACTGAGCTGAGTTCCTTTCACATTGAACCTGATTGCTGTCTATCCTTACCTGGTCGCAAGCTCTATCCCTAGGCAGCAACTGGCTCAGGACGTGGCACACAGGAGGACAATTATTATTTACAGAAACAAAACATTTTGTAATGAAGGGATCAAAATGTTGCCACCCTGCTTTTTGGGGTACTGATTTCAAGGTATTTTTTAAGAAACAAAAGACTCAGAAAGAAACTTTGACCCTCCCTGCCTTTTCTACCCACGAGATTCAGACAGAGAAACCTGCTTCAGGAAGGAGATCTTAGGACGTCACTTTAGCCTAGTTTGAATTGAATGTGCTAAACAGGAGGCTCCAGTAGGTGCCTGTCGCTGGATGGATGCCTCTGTCCCATTGTTCCTGATCCCCCAGCAAGGATCTGTGTGCCACCTGCGTTCCCCTCTTCAACTACCTGTAGATCGCCCACTCTCACTTCTGAAATCTAATACCCCACTCCCTAGTCCCTCTCTCCATTGTTCAAAACTGTCTTATATACCCAATGCTGCCTCAGTGTCTTTGGGGATTTTCATGGATTTATTATGGCTATGTGAATTTCCCACGCTCATGTATCAAACTTTGATTTTCTCCCGTTGATAGGTCTCGGTTGATTTGGTTCTTGGTTCAGCCAGAAGAATTTAGAAGGTGGAAGGAAAAGTATTAATAGTTTTTTAGCTCCACAGTTAGCACAGCTTATACTTGACTTGCACGTGTAACATTTACTTGCCTATTAAGAAGGCACGATTCTTTTCTTTCCTGTAACACCAAGCTCAATTTGGGGCCAATTAAAAAGCATGTATTAATTATCTGACAAGGTTTATCTGACTGTGAATGGTCAGTGGGCCTTCTTCCCTTTCATTTCCCTGCCAAGCTCATGAATGAAGACTGTATCTATGTTTTTATATGCAGGTTATTATTTCTAAAAAGTCATTAAATAGAAATTTTTTATTCTTCCCTGACACTTCTTCCTCCAAAGCCCTTAGCTGTTGGAATGTTTTGCTTTTGACCCACTTTTTAAACAAATTTTAATTGTGGTAAAATACATATGATATAAAATTTATCATCTTAACCATTTTAAAATATACAGTTTATTAAGTACATTCACAATGTTGTACAACCATCACCATTATCCATCCACAGAACTCTTCATCTTATAAAATGGAAACCCTGTCCCCATTAAACAACTCCCCATCCCACCTTCCCCCAGCCCCTGGCAACCACCCTTCTGCTTGCTGTCTCTGTGAATTTACTCCTCTAGGTAACTCATATGAGTGGAATCATATAGTATTTGTCCTCTCGTGACTGGCTTATTTTACTTAGAATAAAGTCCTCAAGGTTCATCCATGTGGCAGCATGTGTCCCTTCCTTTTAAGGGCTGAGTAGTATTCCACTGTATGTTGTATAGAAAACCTACACTTCTACTTCTGGTGTCTCTTACCTTGACATGACTACCACCAGTTGGATGTTCTATACTTTAACCCGATTCTGATACTAACTGCCTGGAGATAGCATCAGATCCTACAGGTTAATGGCTCAGTCCCAGAAGACTGCCCCATCTGACTTCAGATGCCTATCCCAAGTCCAGGTTGTCACCTTTTCTCCTGACTGCCTATAAATTAGAGGTTCTCCAGAACCCCTTTTCAGGTTCAATTGATTTGCTAGGATGGCTCACAGAACTCAGGAAAACAGTTCACTGTTTGCCAGTTTATTACGAAAAGATATGATAAAGGATACGATGCCGATGAGCATCCAGATAGAAGAACTTTGTAGGGCAAGGCATGTGTGGCAAGGGGTGCAGAGCTTCCGCGCACTCTCCAGAGTACCACGCTCCCAGCGTGTGCTCATGCTCACCAACCTGGAAGCTCTCTGAACCCTGTATTTTGGGATTTTCTGGAGGTTTCCTCACATAGACATGATCGATCATTTGCTCCATTTCCAGAACCTCTCTCCTCTTTGTAGAATTGGGGGTAGAGCTAAAATTCCAAGCTTCTAATCATGACTTGGTCTTTCAGGTTGCCCACCTAGAGTCACCTCGTTAGAACAAAAGACACTCATAATACCCAGGAAATGTCAAGGGATTTAGGTACTCTGGGTCAGGAGCTGGGGTCAAAGACCAAACATTAGAACAAAAGATGTTCCTGGTGCTCTTATCACTTAGGAAACGATAAGGTTTTAGAAGTACTGTGCCAGGGGCCAGGGGCAAAGACCGAGGTGTATATATTCTATTATCTCACATATACACACACCAAATTTTATTTATCGGTCCCTCCATCAATGGACATTTGGGTTGCTTCCACCTTGGACTATTGAAATGCTACTATGAACATGGGTATTCAAATATCTGTTTTTGGTTCTTTTGGATAAATACCAAGAAGTGAAGTTGCTTGATCATATGGTGATCCTATTTTTTGAGTGTTTGAAGAACTGCCACACTGTTTTCCATAGTGGCTGTACCATTTTATGTTTCCACCAACAATGCATCAGGATTTGTTCCCCTTTCTCCACATCCTCGCCAACACATTATTTTCTGTTTTTGTTTTTGTTTCTGATAGTAGCATCATAATTGATGCGAGCTACTTCACCCACTTTATCATCACAAGGTCCATGAAGACCTTGTCCTATGAGCAAATGACTTTATCTCTTGCTACCTACCCAAAATGTGGCCCACGGACCAGAAGCATGGACACCGCCTGGGTGTTTTGGGGTTGCAGAACCCCAGCTTCCATTCCAGCCATACAGAATCAGACTCCACATTTGAACGAGATCCCAGGTGAGTCTGACAATCAGTGTTATACCTGCAGGCTCAGATCTCTAGAGGAACAGAGACTCAGAAGAATATGATCCTCACTTGGGTTCTGCGCTTAAAATGAGGTGTTGCTGGGGAAAGCAAGTTAAAGTTTTCTTGTTGATAGATGTTTGTACCTTTGTTCTCTCAAAGAAACAAACTTAGAAGGTGTAACTAGATAAAATACATACTTTGCCCAACTCTGTATGTTACTGTGTAAAAGAAAAGAGGAAAACAAAAAGCAAGATACTGGATTTTCTTTGATAAACACTACATCACATTCTGGACTCTGATGTTTTAGAAATTATACAACACTGAAAGCATTTCAGATTCATTCTAAAAATTCCATTATAATTAAATTTTGGGTGAGAGAGTCAGAGAAGACAACATCATCATAAAACCCTTTAAAGTTGTTCTTGCATATTATGCTTGATAATAAATACATGGTGATTGTCTCTGTGTGAATGAAAGAAGATGGGAGGGAAGGGTTTCCAGTATGAGCAAAGTGTAGAGGCAAGAACAAGCTACCAGTGATGATAGTAATAACTACTGAATGTTTAGTAGGGACGAGGCCCTATTTATTTTCAGCACCTCTTGTGAATTAACTTGTTAACTAGTTTATGTTACTGAATTCTAGACTGAGGCAGGAAATGTCAAAGACAGGTCCAAGTGGCAGGATATAGACTTTGGACTTACCTATAACCAAACAAGTATCTCCAGCATCAACCTACCTGTGACTTTGTCCCATAGGGAATTGCAGACTTTTTTCCTGAAAAAGAGTGAATCATTCTTGCTCTCATGGGAATACCTTGAGATACAATCTGAAATAAACCCAGAAATACCAACTTCAATTTTTGTGACACGGCATTATGCAAATGAGCTAGTGATTACTTTTAAGGTGTGATGTTGAAATATTTTCAAAAAAATTAAAAAATAATGTAAAGGACCATGGAAACGTAGTATGGTGGAAACTTGATGGGAACTGTGTTCCTGCAAATTTAGTTTTTTTCTTGAACCTTTAGATTTGGAACTAATTTAAAGTTTATTGGGTCCAAATCAAATAGTACACTTGAGGAATGTGTTTCATTGTTGGAGAGAGTAAATGATTTTTCTCGTGGAGAGTAAAACCCAGGACTCCTAAATCTAGTGCAGTTTTCCTACACAAGACCTAAGAAAAGTGTAGACATGCAAATGAAACTTATGTTGACTTCTCATTTCCAAGACCCATTGTCAGCAAAAGTCCTATTGAGAAAAATACATTATTTCTGTCCACATGTTTAATCTGCATGATAGACAGTGAGAAGTTCAGCCACATGAAGACCATGCAAAGAAAATCTACTACAGGCCCACAATCCTTATCCAAAACCTTGGGGCCCACTGGTTTCAGAATTCAGAAGTGTTTGAATTTTTGAGTTGTAGTTGAGCGCACACGTGGATATCATATAGCTCCCAGCAGCCTGGGGCACCGCCTTATACTGAAAAAATATTTTTGTAGTAAAACAATCACACCAAATAAAAAAGGTTTTAAGGCTATAGAAAGCCTCACATCAGGTCAAACCTTTTGCTGAACGGGTGATGAAAAGCTTTCTATTTTCAGAGCTTTTTGGAATATAGAATTGTGGGTAGGAGACTGTGGACCTATATAGTCGGAAGAACGGAGTTTGCCTGCCTCCTGTCATCCTAATAGCATCTCGGATCTCAGTTTCTGCAGGCAGAGACCTACCGTCTGGTTGAGAGCCTGCATCAGCAGTAATCATCAGGTGGGGTTGCAGGATCTCCCTGCCCCACGTCACGCGTTATGCTCTGAGTCCCCTGGGCACCTCAAACATCAAGTGTTCACCCTCTTGCCAATTTTAGAAGTTTGAAAGCCTTTGTAGAATGAGTCTGCATGCAGAGGTTCTTAGCATTCAAGAGTGCTTTGACCCAGGATGAAATCAAGATCATACAGTTGTTGGAAAACGGCAGGTGTTATCTTCTATGAGGAACATGCATTAACAAGATACCTGATCTTCTAGGCCAATGGCTTTCAAGGCCTGCCGTCCTCTGTGAGAAAGGGCCAAGTTAATGCTTCTTCCACGTGCCGATTTAGCCACTCGGATATCTAAAACATCGGAAGTAGACTCCACGTTACACTCGTCTCCTCATATCCCAGGACAGGATGGGCGTGTGACGTCTGAACAACTGGTGGGATCAGCACCAAATGAAAAGATCTTGGTACTTCTTTTAAAGAAAACCCCACCCTGGCCGGTTTGGCTCAGCGGTTAGATCATCGGCCTGTGGTCCGGAGAGACCCGGGTTCGGTTCCCGCTAAGGGCATGTACCTCGGTTGCAGTTTGTCCCCGGCCCTGGTTGGGTCATGTGGGTGGCAGCCACTCGATGTGTCCCTTTCACATCGATGTTTCTCTCTCTCTCTCTCTTCCTCTCACTCTATCTCAACAAAATGTTGAATAATGTCCTCTGGTGAGGATTAAAAAAATTTTTTTTTAAATAAAGAAAATACCAATAATAGTAAACTTGTACTAAACGAATTTAGATAGTTCTAACAGTTCCCCTTTAAAAAAAATAGCTTTTGAAAATCTAAAGAGAAAGAGGTCACAGAATGAAAACCATATCTCACAGTTGTCGGTATTGTCTTACCTTCCCTAGCTTCATACACATCAACTTGGAAATTCCTCTTTGCAAGGAAGCATGCATTCAGTGATCCAACCTAGGAATCAAAGCAGTTTTTTTCATATTTTTATCTGATTCCACCAGTACAGAGAATTTTTACTGTTGTGCATGGCTTGGTTATCACAGTGATTTAGTCACTACTAGAAAGCACCATTTGCAAAAATAATGGGATAATTCAAGATTAAATGCTGTAGTTTTAGAGACAGGCTTTTTTTTGTTTTTGTTTTACTTTTTTATAGTGAGATATAACTTTCATACAGAAAGATCACAGAGCATGTGTACAGTTTACAGAATAATTGGGAAGCAAACACCCATATAACTATCACTCTGGTCAAAAAGTAAAACATTGCCACCCCCTAAAGCTGTCCCTACCTCCTCCACAATTACAAACCCCACCCTTTCACCAAAAGGTAAACATTATGCTGACTTGTGATAACCCATCCCTGCTTCTTTAACGTTTTACCACTTAGATATATATCCCTAGGCAAAATAGGTTAGTTCTACTTGTTTTTGAATCACATAATTAGAATCACACGTGTGTATTTTTTTTTTTTTTTGCATCTTGCCTCTTTAACACAACAATATGCTTATGAGATTCATCCACATGGTTGCACGTAAACTCTAGATCATCCATGTTTATTACTGTATGATTCATCATTGTATGAAATCTCACAGATGACTTAGCTACTCTACTGTTGAAGGATGTTTGAGTTTTTCCTGGTTGAGGAATATTATTAACCATGCTGCAAAGAACATTTTTGTACGCAAATTCTAGTACACATGTGCATGATTTTGTCTGGAGTGTTATACTTGGAAGTGGAATCCCTGTTCAAAGGCTTGTTTCTTTATCTTTATTGTGCCATGTATTTCAACATTTTGTACTAATGTGTTTTCCCACCAGCAGCTCTGGGAGCTCATCTTTGCCAGCATTTGATGTTTTCAAACTTTTAAACGTTGTGATTGGAGGGTAGGATGGGGAGGAGTGTGTTTTAATTTGTACATGACTGATAACTAGAGTGTGAACACTTTTTCACATATTGATTGACTATTTGGAACTCCTCACTTGTAAACTGCCTATAAAGTCTCTTGCCTATTTTCTACTGGGTTGTCTGCCCCTATCCCCCATATATCTTTTGAGTTATTCATAGATTTGAGTACAAAGTCTTTTCCACTTTCAATTTCTTTTTTCTTTATTGGTCTTAAAGAGAGAGGAAGTGAGAGGGAGAGAGAGATAGAAACATCGATGAGAGAGAACATCGATGGGCTGCCTCCCACATGCACTAGGGATAGGGCCCACATCCGGGCATGTGTCCTGACCGGGAATCGAACCGGTGACCTCCTTGTGCGTGGGTCCATGCTCAACCACTGAGTCACACCGGCCAGATGAGTCTTTTCCATTTTTAAATGTTGCCAATATCTTCTCATGTGTGGCTTGCTTTTTAAACTTGATTGTATTTTTTAAGGATGAGAAGCTCTCTATTTCAGTGTAGTCACATTTTTCAATATTTTACATTATTGTTAATGCATTTGGTGTCTGTTTAAGAAGTCTTTCCCTACTCTGTGATTCTGAAGAATTTTTCGGTCTGTTGTCCTCGCAAAGCTTCACAGTGTTGCTTCCTGATAGCTGTATGTAGATTGAGGGGTTTATCTGCTGCTTCATCTTAAATTTGGTAAGATCATCCATATTCAATGATCACACCTGAATTTTCAGCAGTATTCAATCAGTGCTGTTAGCCAGCCTCTCTTCTTGATCTCTTTTTGAGCTCATGCATATGAATGTTTAATTAACGTAGCTTCTTGAATGTCTCAAAACACCTTGGAATCAACAGACTGAAACTGAAATGTGTGATTCTTGCTCTCCATCTTGTCAGCCCTGTGCAGTATTCCTCATGTCAGTGATGATACCCCTTCCTTCCTGTTGCTTAAACTGGAAACCCAAGAGTCACCTTTGGCACCTTGCCCCCCCGCCCCCCATGTTTAATCCACTGGAAGTTCTGCCAATCCTACCCTATACTGTTTCCCCATCTACCCATCTCTCTTCATGTTCACATTCTGCTTCTAGCTATCATAATCATTATACTTGACTAATGCCAAGTTTTCTGTCTATTCTACCAGCATTCACCTGGCCTTTTGCCAATTGGTTCTCCATTTAGATAATGGTGAAATAGGTCATTTGAACTGACCCTTCTGCCAACAGTAAAAGAAAACTCAGGGAGATGAACCTGGCATTGGGAGCCATGCCTAGCGGCAGCTACTGTTTGCACAGCAGCCTGAGAATTTCAGCAGAATTTTGGTAGACTCATGAAGCGACAAGGACATAATCTGGAATTCAGGACACCCATCTAACTTCCTGCTCAGGAGGGTCTAATTAACCTTCAGGCTTTGGATCAGGATTCTAGCCATGTACATCCTAGGAGAAGGGTAAACTGGAAATAAACCCATGGTCAAAGGGTTTAAAGTCTGTCTAGGACTCGTCTCCAGTCCCGATCGGATTGCGTTCATCTGGGACTGCTGGTAACGACAGCCACCTCACAGAAGCAAATGCAATCCGGCTACAGGAAACCACCACCATAAGCCTCTCATTTTCTTAAGTACACATATATCGTTATTCTTCAGCTGAGTATATGTTTGTTTTCATTGATTTTTAGAAAGGAAGACAGAGAGAGAGACATTGACATGAGAGAGAAACATCGACTGGTTGCCTCCCATATTTGCCTCACTCCAAGATTCAACCCTAAACCCAATAGGTACTCTGACCGGGAATCAAACCTGCAACCTTCGGGTGTATGTACAGGACAATGCTCCAATCAACTGAGCCACCCGGCCAGGGCATTATCATATATTTTAAAATATATTCTTAATAATTTCTTAAGTGTATACATCTAATCATGTGACCCTTCTGCCCCAGCCTTCCCAGCCATCTTTCATTGCTGTGTTCTCACCATGCCTTCTCCCACCGGAGGATGTAGCGTGTGTTATTTCTGTGGCCAAGAATCTTCTTCCCGTTCTGCTTTACCTAGTGAGCACCCACGCAGCATGGCCCACCGCTCAGCTGCGCTTCCTCGAGGAAGTGTTGCATTGGCCACTCTACCCACTCAACCGTCTTAGCTCTCACAGTACCATGGACTGTCCCTTTGGGAAGCCTTAAGAGTTGAATTGTGACCTCAAAATTTATATGCTGAAGTCCTAACCCCCGTACCCCAGAGCGTGACCTTATTGGAAGATAGAATTATTACAGAGATAATTAAGCTGAAATGAGGTCATTAGGGTGGGGCCCAATCCAGTTTGGGGGATTTGGACACAAAGATCTGAATCGAGGGAAGCCAGTGTGGAGAGACACCAGGAGAAAAGGACTATCTGTAAGCCAAGGAGAGAGGCTTGAACCCCCTCACAGCCCTCAGAAGAAACCAACCCAGCTGACCCCTTGATTTCAGACTTCAGCACTCCAGCACTGTGAGACCAGAAGTATCTGGTCTTGAAGCCACTTGACTTGTGGTACTTTGTTAAGGCAGCCCTAGGAACTAATACAAAGAGCTTGGTAATCTAAAGGTTACCAAGATAAATCCTTATGCCTAGTAACACCTAATTTCATTAAGAAGAGACAAACAGCCCTGGCTGGTTAGAGTGCTGACCTGCAAACGAGTGACTCAAGAGTTCGATCCGGTCAAGGGCATGTACTTCAGTCTGCCCTGGGCCTGGCCCTGGCTGAGGTCGTTCGGAAGGCAACCAATCGATGTGTCCCTCTCACATCAATGTTTCTCTCTCTCTCCATCTCTCCCACTCTGTCTGAAAATAAGTAGAAAAAAATAATATCCTTGGGTGAGGATTAAAAAATAATAACAATAAAAAAGAAGAGACAAACATATAAACCAATCGATGCTTAGCACACCACTTACAAAGGCCCACTTTTTACATAAACATGTTATAGATTCCCCACATTTTCTGGATTTCTACTGTGGGTTGGTTAAAAAAAGGAGTCACATAATTTTATTCCATAGATCCAAAGTTTGGGGTGCATATAGGGAGACCTTTCTTTGCAAAATAATTCTGGGCCCAGAGGTAGAAATCAATGCGGAAAAAAAGGAGGTGGGATTAATTTTGCCTTGAAGGATGAGACAGACCGTATTTTTCAAAGATGGTCATGACAATATCTCCCATCCTACATGTTCTTCTGCAATGTGACCTTGACACTCCATCACGCAGTGAAGTTTATTTCTCCAGTTTCTTGAATCCAGCAGGGACTGCGGCAGCCTTCATCAATGAGATGCAGTACAAGTGATACTCGAGTTGTTTCCAGGCATAATCCGTAGCTGGCCTGGAATCTTCTGCGTCCTGCCTTTGGGAGCCAGTGATCATGTAAGAAGAGCAGCTCTCTGCAGGCCGCCACGTGCGAGAAGCCCAAGTCACTGGCAGTTGCTTGAAGAGCTTGAGCTGAGCTCTTTGCCCACCAACTGCCCGCTGTCAGAGACGCGTCTTGGATGTCCAGTGGGTGTTGGAGTGGGTGCCGAGATTCAACTGTATTCAATTTGTTCCAGATCATGAGCTGCTCTCGATCAAAAGGCTGGAAGTGTGGCTGAATAACATCACAGAAGATACAGTTGAGGATGGAGACCACAAATGTGTAGTGGAACCAAGATGTGAAGTTTATTATATTTTTTTTCCTGCAGTACTAAGCAGCCAGGCAGGATGGAAAACAAAGGAGATGAAGATACTGGGTGAATGAACTGCTGGTTAGCAACAACTAAGTTAAAGTGTATAGAAGAAAGACAGAGGGGGGGGTGATAAACAGGGGCAAGCATAAGGTCCCCGTGAAGAACAAATGTAGCAGAAGCAACTGAATGAGAGAGCTAGTAAGTTAGGAGGTTTTTCACCAGAGAGTCCCAGGTCTGACACTATAGTGTTCTGCAGGATGACAAGGTCCAAGTCCAAGAAATGGTCATGGGACTTGGAGGCTACAGTGGAGGTGGAAGAGATTGGAAGCACAGAGTTCAAGGGGCCAATTGGATGGGCCAACAATGTGATCTTGGATAGTCCCTT